TGAAACATCATCCTCATATTTTTCCCAGACCGCAAGGTGACATCTTTAAGTTCTTATTTTTTCTGACCGTCAGTCCAAACCCCAAGCATATTCAATTTACAGTGATGAATAACACAGAAAAGCGTCAAATCCTCAAATTTGAGAAGCAAGACCTGACATATGTTTGTTAGGCTACTTTTTTGTTTCTGAAATTACTTTGCTAAATGATTAATCAATTAGGCGTTGGCAATTGATTCTCTGTTTATTAATTGATTTATCAATTAATCATTCCAGCACAATTATAAAATTCTTTTGCCATATGTTGCTCTTTATGCCTCCCTCACTGTGTCACCTGTAGGCAGGTGTGTTATCCACCACTTTTTGAGATTTTGGACAGCACGCGGTTCAGGACGGATCTTTGCAGCGGCCGCCCGCGGAGAGACAGCTGCTTGCCGGCCGGGAAGCCTCGGGGGTTGCGCTTTTTTGGACTCCTCGGGGAACAGAGGCTCCTAGAGAGCGTGGTTTATTTTCTTGGAAACTTGTGAGGATAAAGAGTTTGCCCTGCCGTCCTTTATGTCCTGCAGAGGTTGATAAACACGGCTGGTCGAGGTCAGAAACATCCCCGCGGGGAAAAGAGAGCAGGGCTGGATGGGAGCATTAACAGAAAGACTTGAAAGGAAGCAGGACACGTGATGAATTCAAAGTGGTCAACTCAAATTTTAATACAGAAGCAGCAGAAAAAAATGTTTTTAATCCTAACTAACGTAAATATAATATATAGCTTAATATAATCCCCTTCCCTATAAATACCAATGCTCTCCATGGCCATAACAGTGAAACTGATCATGGCATGGCAAGATTGCATCAGTCACTGGTGCTCAGGTATTTCAGGAAGCAGCTTCCTTATATGGTGTCATAGTGCAGACTTCACCTGCTCTCCCTACACACACACACACACACACACACACTCCACTGTGTTATGAGAAGGGCTCACAACTGCCTGCCAACCATATTTAATTTCCTTTCTCATGTTTTAGCTTGTTTTCAAGTCTTTGCTATGTGCGTTGAATCTTCCCGCCTCACAAACACCAGGATACTCCTCCTTATCACCAAGGCCTCCTATAGTTGTAATTGTCGTCAGCCTGTCAGTGTTCTCCATAATGACGTGACGTTTTCCAGGTAACTGCTGCCATAATAAGCCAAACAGGCGGGAAACTGAGAGGAGGAGGAGGCAACAGGGCCAGATCCCTGTCTTGAACTGGCATGACTCCTGTGTCTTGCATCAGTTGCACATGGTCATATAACCTGATCTGAAACACTCACTGTGGAGCAGCTGATAATGCCTTTGTCGAACACACACACACACACACGCACACACATACACACACACACACTCACTCTGTAGCAGTGACTCTGTGTTGCATTTACAACATTGTCTCCTGAGTGTGTTGTAGGCCCAGCACCGTAAATCGAATCCATCATGTGACAGAAGCCTCTATACAGAGGCCTTAAATGGACTGTGACTGTTCTGTCTGTCCATTCTGCTGGATTAACACACTAACAAATACTTTATAACATTTACTGTCCTGGTTTTTGCAACGTGGTCAGTTTCAAGACTGGTTCTGCACGTAATACTTGTCTGAAATGTTCCATAAAGACACAAGACAGTATCTTAGTGTTTTTGGTCAGACAGAGGGGGCATGGAAAGGATTAATGGTGCTCTGAGTGACACAGCATGCAGAAACTGGCATTCAGTGGGGAAAGCGTGTGTAGTAGTGCCAGCTTTATTCATTAATATAATTATGTTAAATGCAGACATTCTGGTTTTTGGGTCCACCCTGCCTTTAGTCAAGTCATTGTTATACAAGAAACCTAATGAGGAGCAGCACAGTTAGTGAGTAGTGATCGTGATGCGCTGACGTTGACAGGACGGCACAGTCGAGATTAAAGATAGGTCAGGATCACTTTACCACAGGTTTTGCATCCTCTGCCAGCATCTTGGAAATGTCTGTCATTGTTATACTATTTTTAGCAGCAGTAGCTCCCACAGTTTCATCTTCTTTCGCTTGTTTCCCTGCTTCAGGCATCTTTAGCGGTTTGTTGAAGGTATAAAATACTCACAGACTCAGACTCTTTTCACTGAAAGCTCTTTTGACTTGACTGTAGGAGCTAGTGGGAAACCTGCCTACTACATCCTCTCCAAACAAGAAGTCCGTAAAATTGCTTTGCTATTTTTAGCATCACAGGATGTTCACAGGCAAAGGGTTTGTGTTGATGTTAACAATTCGCAGGTTAACTCATTAAGAAAACTCACAACTTGATATGAGATACGTATGTATATGAGATGTGTCCTATGGCAACGATGGTGTCACGGTACAGGTCGTTTGCACAAAACGTTATTTATGAAGCATCTATGATACATATTGTATGATAAGTGTCCGAAGAGGAAGATATACCCCTAACATGGTGAAATGTGTTCAGTTTGATTTAATAAACAATAAAAAATAAACAGGAACATGAAGCCTTCGCAAGTACTGTCATTCATATGTCAGGAAGCCATGGACTGGGGAAAGACTGAGCTGTTAGAGTCATGTCAATATTGAGATATACAGTATTTCCAGTAGAGCTGCAAAGGTTAGTCGATTAATCAATTATTTTATAGGCAGAAATTATTCTGCAGCTATTTTGATAAATGTTTTATTAATTTTTCTTGCAAAAATGCCAACAAATGTATAGTTCCAGCTTCTCTAATGTGAGAATTGGCTGCTCTTCTTGGTCTTACATCACAGTCAGTTGAATATTTTAGATTTTGGACTGTTGGTTGGACTAAACAAGACATTTGCTGAAGTAACGTTGGGCTCTGGGATATTGCAATTATTAAAACAATTGTTAGCTGCAGCCCTAATTTAATTAAAGTCTCACCCCTGATTATAGACACCCAGAATGAACAAGTTAGCCTCGTTACTGCGGTTGATCTCTTGTCTTGTTATGCTCTGTCTTCTCAATACGATGCTCTTGTTGTTTCATGAGCGTCGTCTTGCTCTCTCGCATCGTTGAAAGTTGGGGAGTGGTGTGTGTGTGTGCTGAAGGCGTTTTCAGCAAGCGGTGTTACAGTTAAAGGGAATTTTCAAACACTCTTTTCAGCACTAAGGCTGTTCACTGGACATAGTTAATTGCATTAAACGCACGCCTCTTGAGCAGACATAAATCTTTCCCATTAGATCCTCTCTCTCCCTCTCACCCATACAACACACACACACAAGCTGAAGATATGCCCTCATTAGGAAGTACAGAGTAAGTGTTTCCTGTTTGAGTCCCCGACACACCCCGCCTCTCTTCAAATCAAGTGGTTGAGACTTTTCCTCCCCTCTGTTCCTTTCCATTTCTTCTCTGGTTTGCTGCTAAATGGAACAGCTGGTTATATTTGGATCTTTCTTGTTTTGTTTAGAAGCTTTCCAGATGTGTGTGTGTGTTTCCAGGTGGTCATAATAAACCTGACTTTGTTTGGTCAGCCACGTCATAAGTGTCAGATTTCTGTTTTGTTTGTGTCTGTATTGTTTACATAAAAGCTGTACCACTATTCACTTTTGAACTGTTAATACCAGCGAGATAACCCCAAAGCCAAACTGTAGCTACTTGTTGTTGAAAGACTCCTTGAGTGCAACTCTGTGCTGCTTTCAGGTGCAAATGTCAACCTTTTAAGATGCTGTGCCTATTTCCAGAACAAAAGCAGACAGACAGACAGAGTGCTCGACATTGTTTCCATCGGTCAAAATCAAGGGTGAAATAGCTGTTCTGTTGATAGCAGAGTGGGAGCATTTCTGAGAACAATGCAGTGCAAGGTGTGAGGTACGATTTACAAAACAATCGCTGGTGACATGGGGAGTTGACACCCATTAGGCAATCTGAGAGAAGAATGTCCTGTCTTGAGGGACTTCCTCGGGTCTCCCCACTGGAGTAAACTTAATGAATTATCACAGATTATTTTATTTGTGGAAGTTAACTGAGTGAAAAAAGGAACCCTTTTTTAAACCCTTATGTGGACAAACGGCTCTCTTTGTTCTGGTTAACAATATGTGGAACGTCTTACCCACAGAATTCATAATGGATCATGACTGGGATCCTTTTAAGCTCAAGTTGGAACAGCTTTAAACTGTAGTGTTAACTGTTTGTGTTTTGTACTGTTTGTATTGGAGCTGCAACTGATATGTCAATCAGCGGAAAATTAAGTGGCAAACATTTGATAATCGAATAAAGGTTTAAGCATTTTTTGAGCAAAAATTGCTAAAATTTTGGGCTTCTCAAGTGTGAATATTTGCTTGTTTCTTACTCTCCAATGATAGTTAATCAAATATCGTTGCGTTATTGACTGTTCATGTTGTGGTCTTGGAAATTGTGATGGACATTTGCCTCAACAAGAAAGTCATTTGTAGGTTGATCAATAATGAAAGTAATTAGTTGGCATATTATTATCTTGTTATCTTTTTGCTTTTTGTTTTTATATATTTTTTTGTCTATTTGTATAAAGGCTGATCTAGTGACAAGCCTTGCAAACTAGCTAAGGCACTTTTGCATGCTGTATCATACATTCCTAAAGAGATTCAGTTTATCTACTTTACAACATATATGACTACTTTATAACATATATGCCATGCCTGTGGTGTGGGAGACCAGGGTTCGAATCTCACTGCGACATATCCACCAATGTGTCCCTGAGCCAGACACTTAACCCCTAGTTGCTCCAGGGGCGTGCAACTTCAGATAAATATAGCAATTGTAAGTCACTTTGGGAAAAGCGTCAGCTAAATGAATTTAATGTATGTGGCTTTTATTTATATATATAGAGGAAGGTAACGTGATATATATATTCAGTTAAGACTGTTTCATAGTTGTTGCATCCAGTTTCTTTAATGAAACCTTGCGTGAACATTTAAATTAATTTCTTCCTATCCACTCCCTTCCCATCTTCTCCCTCCATCTGCCACTGTCCCTCCCCCCTCTTCTATCACAGAGCAGCAGCGATGGCGCCCTCTCTCGTCCAGGCCTACAGGAGGCGCTGGTGGATGGCGGTGACGGCGGTAATTGAAAACTTACTGTGTTCGGCTGTGCTGCTGGGCTGGGGCTCCCTGCTCATCATGCTGAAAAGAGAAGGCTTCTACTCCCACCTGTGCTCAGGTAAATTCAAAATCTGCCTCACTAACCATAAAGTTTTTGTTTGTTTTTGCTTTAACAACTTCATGACATTGATGATTTGTGTTTTATTTAAGTGATTAGTGTTTTTACACAGCACATAAGATCCCACATTAAAAAATGTATCTATTTTAGTTGGAGTTTGGTAACAACAGTTTACTTTCCTGGGTCTAACCGATCTCAACGCATCGGCAACGGCCATATTTCAGGGTGTTGCAAACAGATCTCCGGATAATGGATATCCGGGCCAAGACTTCCTCTTCTGTACACCATGTCATTGTTACAGTCTGAACCAAGTTTGTCTGTAGGTCCACAGAACATACCTACTACATGAGACGCCCTCTAAATGGTCATAGTTTTGTTTGGTTAAGGTACCAAAGCTATAGGTTTAGGAAATCATCATGGTTTGGTTTTAAATAAGTAACGTTAATCCAGGGAGTTATTATTTCAGGGGGCGTGTTGTGTAGTAAAATGGGTGTGGCATGTAGTAAAGTGGGTGTGGCATACAGTTAAGTGGGTGTGACATGTAGCTTGCGAGACTGCAGATAAACCCTTCTCGTCTGATTACCAATCTCTGAACCCGTTGTCTGTTGTCTGATGAAGATTTTGAATGCAGATACATTTTTTAAAAAAAGCTAACAATTAATATTAAAATAGCTAATCTCGAGGTTTCCAAATTTGGTGAAAAGCTAAATCGTCATCAGACAATAGCCGATTTTGGCCAATGTGTTCCACCTCTTATGCTTTCCACACGGACTGTTTGCCTGCATCTAACCAAAGTCCGCTCAAACGTGATTGGTCAATACTACTACAGGCCAAGCACTGTTTTTGTTGGAGAGAGAGGCTGATTATCATCAGCATCTGTTCTTGCTGGTGAGAGCTTCTTGCACGATTTTCTTTCTCAAGTGAATGCATTATGCTTCCATAGAATATATATTTGTTTAAATATACCTCATATAACTTTTGAAACATTTGTCCATATTTGTTGTAACATCAATGCTTTATTCTCATTTCTGTATTTTGTTAACTTTATCAAATGCACAAGCCCAGTATGTGGAAGGCTAACCACTTCAGTACTTTTCTACATGTTGGGTTCAGAAAATTCAGGAAAAAAGAGAAAAAAATGGTTCTTTTTAAAATTATTACACAAGGGTTTGTAACAATGGTGTCTATCTATGTTGTCTACTCCTTCTCACTGATGGCTTATGTCTAACTTCTGTTTGATTATTTTTTGAGATACAAGTTTTGCATCAATGTACTACAAAGAGGCAAAGATTAGAGCAAAGTATTAAAAAGAAATGTGTTTGATTGGGCTTTCTCTGTACGTACTCTTATCACTCTACCATCCACACCCGGCTCCCACAGTCAACGAGTCCGTGGTCGTGTCTCTGGGCAACTCATCTGGCAGTGAGGTGGAAGAGTGGCTCAGCTGTGTGGACCAGGAGGAGATGCTGAATCTGGGCTTCACAATTGGCTCATTCTTGCTCAGCGCTGCCACCCTGCCGCTCGGTATCCTGATGGACAAGTTTGGGCCACGCCCACTTCGCCTGGTGGGCAGGTAATTGTTGTAAAAGTAGTCACATTTCTGAGGGAATGAGCTCGTCTGTAGGGATTATGTGTTAAAGTTTCTATGTTCAGTATAATTCACAAACACCTAAACTTGATGAAAAATTGTCATTTGGAGGTTTGACTTTATAAATGTTATGATTCTGAAGTTAAAGCTTCATAAAAAAGGAGCCAACAGTAGTCAAAAAAAGCAGGCAGAGCACATTCTGGCAAGAGACTGTGTGTGTGGATGAATGAATGTAGGTGGGGCACTAGAATGTGTGTATGCACTTCGTGTCTATAGTAAGTAGTAAAATTCTTTCTAATTGGGTGTGAAGACAACTGTACTTTCACATGCAATTATACAGCGGGATGCCAGTAGTATCTTTAGAAATGCGCAAATATAAACACACACACACACAGACACATACACACTGAAATTGAATAGCCATACCAGACTCTTTGATAATGAGATGAAAGTTAATAAAATTGAAAAATTAGATGTTAATCTGTAGCTGCATATGTAAACAGTCAGGCTGCTAAACTACTGACAGTTTCACTCTTTGGCAGATTAACAATGACTCAACTGCACTGTAGTGCACTGCACTTTTATGTTATTTATGTCAGAAAATTTAGTTTAACTTGTACATCTATATCTTATATCAGTGCTAAACAGTGTCACTCATTTGCACCACACGTTTACTATATATATATATATATATATATATATATATATATATATATATATGACTTTCAGCATGCTAAAATATTATCATGAAAACATATCTAATAATTCTGAGATAAGTATTTTGTTTATTTCGAAAAACAGGGCAGACTTTTTTTCTCAAGTAAATGCATTACGCTTCCATAGAATATATACTTGTTTATAGGTACCCATATAACTTTTAAAACATGAAATATTTCTATATTTGTTGTAACGTCAATGCTTTATGCTCATTTCTGTATTTTGTCAGACCTTATCAGATGTGCAAGCCCATCATGTGGCAAAGGGAAGGCCTACCACTTCAGTATTATTCTACATATTGGGTTGAGAATAGGCATAAAAGATAGAGAAAATAATGGATAATTTTGTAATTATTACACAAGGATTATCTATGTTGTCTACTCAATCAAGGAATGTAGGTAGGGCAATAGAGTTGTTGTGCATGTCAGTAGTGAAATTACTTCTCAGTTGGTGTGACCACAACCAAACTTTCTCATACAATTATACAGCTCTTTACTGTCTGAATAGAGAGGGATGTCAGTATTATCTTCAGAACAGGGCAAATAGACTCAGTTAAATAAAATCTAAAAAAAGAAACTTCACACTCACACACACTTTCTCTGTCATTTTAGCGGTTATGAAATTGAATAGCCACGCCAGATGAAAGTTGATAAAAATGGATAATGAGAAGTTTATCTGGAGCTGCATATGTTTAAACATTCAGGCTGCTGACAGTTTCAGTCTTTGGCAGATAACAACTGATAAAGTACGCAAGAATTTAGAATGTCCTTTTTCTTTTGTTGTAGTTCGTGTTTCGCTCTGTCCTGTGGTATGATGGCCATATCTGCCCATGACCCTCATGGTGAGTACAAACACACACCACATACACACACACACACACTAGATATAAATATATTATTAACAATATATATATATCAAAAGAAATATGTGACAGAACAAATCTGTAAGATACAAATACTTATTGTGGCCAACACGTTTATATGAATATTGTGTTGCATCAAAAATATTCCACTCAGTCAGAAGCTTCACTCAGTTGTCGTTCAGTGTAAGTTCTGAGAGACAGCTGGAAGCACACCACCTGAGGTCATGGTTTAATTTAAAAAGGCCAGCTGTTCAACTGGAAGAGCAACATTCTCCATGTTAACGTATCCATATCACCAAATTATTTCCTCCACATTCTTCACACCCCTTCTTTCACAACTGTCTTACTGGTTGCATCAGGCTGCAATGGAAACGACATAGTTTCAGATGGTCGGAGTGTGACTGAAATCAGGGTCAGGTTCGTAACAATGGCCAATAGTCAGCATCCACACTACATTTTTAAATCACGGTGGCTTAGCTGGTGTTGCCTGTGTGCTACCTAATTTTTAAAAAATTCCTACAGCCTGTTTATTGAGGTCTACTACTGCTGCTTCCAATTTATAAGGGCATCAAAAAAGTGCCTGTTGAATCATCTAGCAGAGCCTGTATCTTGCCCCCCACATCTTTCCTTATTTTTGTCCCAACATATTATCTATTATGTTTTAAATGCTCATGGCAGTTTGCAAAAATTAACTTATGTAACGTAGCTTTTTAATTTCTAACCACAGGCCATTACTCTGATAAACAATTTACTCCACACATACAGTGTCAGGAACAATTCCTGTGCAATAACCCTGTGACTCTCACTCTTACATTTACCTGTATACTATTTACTATTTATTCATCATTCTGGCAATTCAGTAGCTGTTGTTTATACTGCATATATTGTATCTACAGACCTCATGAACATAATAATACATGGACAAAAATATTTGGTCCAGCATCCTTTGCACTCTGCTCCACTATACTATTGTCTTGCCGTCTACAAATGTTGTTTTGTTTACGGTTGTGTGCATGTGTGTACTGTAGTTGGGTCTGTTTTTGCTGCGCTTGTTGTCCTGTTTGTTAATGCTTGTTCTGTGTATGTACATTAAGAGCAATGCAAGAACACAAAAACAAGCAAAAACACAAAAAAATAGAATTTCCTCCCTAGTATTCCCCCGCCAACCAGTTGGGTTCAATCATTCAATTCAACATACTTTATTTGTTTAGCGCCTTTCGTCAAAAATAACAATACAAGGTGTTTGACATGTGGTAAAATTCCAGCAGGTGCTGTTTATATCCATGTCTCTCCACACTCACATAATATACGTATTGAATACTTGGAAAACTTGTAATAATAATACTTGGAATACTTATAAAATGTATTTTTTGGTTAAATTACGATATTGGTGAATGTATGATTTCAGTGAATACACATTGTTACACTGATTAATGAAGGATTATTACAGATGTAGTGGCTAAACAGCTACACATGTGATTGATTAATATGTAAAGATTGATTTTTATAGAGTGTAGCTAAAAAAACGTGCTTTTGTTTTCTACTGGCCTTTTTAGATGCAAAGCTACAGGTGAGAACTCACTCACAGGATCGCGAGTAGTCAATCTCCCCATCTGTTTCTGAGTTATGGTGCTGAATAATTAACATCATCAAGTCTTGAGTTATGGCCAAGTGCGTTTTATGAGGTCACAGTGACCTTAGACCACCAAATCCTAACTGGTTCAACTGAAAACATCAGGTGGAAGTTTTTCCTAAATTTGAAGAAGTTCTTTCAAGGTATTCCTGAGATATCAGATACACAAGAATGGGACAGAAACCCCAAAACATTATGATTAAAATCTGATAAGAAACAGAAAAGTAAAAATAGGCAAATAAACAGTGAGTAATTAGTTAAACCGTTGAGATGTTTGGAAATTTTGTAGCTGAATCTGAAATGTTTTGTTTTAACCTGTATATATCCACCTTTCGCATCATCTTCAAATTTGTAAACCTTTTAAGCCTTTTAGTGGACACGCTGGAAGACATGTCCTCCTCTTGCTCTGAGAGGGAACAGACTGGCATTAACTCTTCTTCTGTGTTCCTCTTTTTTCTCTTCAGTTCTGTCAGAGCTCATTTTCTTGGCTCTCTCCCTGAACGGCTTTGGAGGCATCTGCTTGACCTTCACCTCTCTCACGGTGAGACACACAACCAGCAGGAAACAGTAAAGAAGTTCTGACTGATTAATAGAGGAAGAATAATACTGATATATACACATGAGGGTAGTGTTGTGATTATTAGACAATCAGTAGCACAAACTGTACATAAATCATCAGTGTGTTGCAGATGTACACACTGCAGATGTTGTGTAGTTGTTTTCAGACTGCCAGGGACAGCTAGCTTCTGATTTACAGCATGAGTAGTATAATTGTCTCTTCTCTGGTCTTGTTATAAATGCTGTAAGGAGACAATCACTCTTCTCTGTGCCAGGTTTCATTGTTTTGGTGGGTGAGTTTCTGCCCACATGCTCAGCGATACCCGTATTTTGATGGCCGTTGTGCTCGTTTTTAACGTCTATGCGTAAGACCTGTTGTGACAGAAAAATATGACAATGAGGGAGAAAAAGGAAATGGCCACTCAACTGTGGAATAGACCGTGTTTGGGAGTTTCATCATGTTAAATATTAATGTAGTCAGGATCATTTTTATCTGTCACATGTTGGCACCTTTTTTCTCTGACAAAATTAAATGTGTCTGTCGTGGTTACATAACTCATATTCTGCAGTACTGATGTTGGGTGATGTTCCTGGAACTAATGAGCAGGTGGGTTTTGGTAGCTGAGAGTCTCAGCGTGGTCGAGGCCTCTATTTATCTCAGCTGAGGACACAGTTTGCGTTGTGACTGGGAGCCGTGTTTGTTGACATTCACATCAGGCATGTGTATTTGCGTGTGATATGTCAGCTGGTACCAACATTATCAAGTGTGTTTTATTGTTGCCGCTGTCTCTTGTGTCCTTGCAAGCATTTAGGTTTGTGTTGCGTATCGGTACTACATATGAGTGTTAACAATGTTTCCATTCGAGTTGCACATGACTTCTGCCAGATTTGTCTCCGCCAATAACAGCCTGTAGTTCACCACACACCCTCCACAAAGCCCGGCCCACTGACCTCTATTCAAAACACTCAAGGCCACACTTTCTCTCCACTGTCTCTTCCCTCCTCTCTTGCTTCCTTCCTTCTTCCTTTGTTCCCGTCTTCTTATCTTCCCGCTCTCTCACTTGTGTCTCTGTACCGTCCGGCAGTCAGCAGAAAATCAATGCAGAACCTTTTCAACTCGGCATGACTGTGCACACGTGTGGATGTACGAATGGTTATGTACACACAGGGAGACGAACACGAAACAGATGTTTAGATAATGAGGGTCCAAGCTGAGTATGGACAGATGACCCTCTCCTCTGACTCTGTGTGCTGACTTTAGGCTGGTTCTGTGGAAAAGAAGAGCTGAGACATATGTCTCTGTCCATCCATATTAAAGTCAACTGTGCCACCAGATCTCACTGAAAATTGCTAGCAATGTGAAATAACAGCTGATGTGGCTGTTTTACAGAAGGAAAACATCAAAGAAGTTTGTTCCCTATTGAGATATGGTGCACGTAAAGGTCTATTTGGTGATTGTTGAGACAATTACATTAAACCCAAGTAGGGGTCGGCTGGGTAGCTGGTTGGTTTTGAATATGTTTTCTATTATTTATTATTATTGTTTCTAATACAATTGTAAAAACGTATACATGCAACATAATACAATTGTATAGAGTTAATTGTTTTTGTTTTCTTTGGGTTGCAGTTAGTTACCACAGTTTTGTTTGTTCTGTTCTTCTTATGGCCTTGCTTGGTGCCCACCTTGTGTGTATATCTGATGAACTTACCCCTACTATATTGATTGTGAGCTCCCCTTGCACTGGGTTGTGTCAGCTGGTGTGTCTGTTATGGGGTAATTGATCTATCAGCCAAACTGTCTCCTATAAATTAGTTGATCGATAAAAAATGTAGCAGGAATTAATCCATCACACAGTGCAAAGCATGATTCAAGCTGACAACATGACACGAGTGCACATATTCACGGAGCCTTAGTTTCACACGAGTCTCTCTCTCTCTCACACACACATGCACATACAGTGATGAATCCTGGCAATGAAGATACACGTCATGTGGCATCTCCAATGGAATCAGAACCTGTTTGCTTCCTTGTGACTCGTTGTAGCAGCATCACAGCAACATTTTAGTGTTTGGCCACTAACACACGCTCACATAACCCTAGCACAGGAAGACACTGTGCTCTTTCTATTCCATTAATCACACACAAACACTTGAGTAATGTTCACCTCCCCCTTCTCTTTGTCCCTGTCTGACCCCTGCGTCTCTCTTTCCCTCCCTCTTTCCATCTCTAATGGGGTTGGCTGTACAAGCATTGACTGACCTCCACGCTGTTGTTGAGCAAATGATGGCAGACTGAGACACACACACACAAGCACGCACGCATGCACACTCATGCCAGCATGATTTAAACCATGTGCTTGAGGTTGATAGCTCAAATGGATTATGAAACAAGACAAACCTGTTCTATTGAGTTATTGTTTAAGGAACAAACAAGCGTCCTTCTATATTCAATTACCGATAATGAAGGACACAATCCTCTGATACTGAGGGTCTGTCATATGATTTGATACAGTTACGCATGGCTAATAATAATATGCAACAATAGCAACAATAAAATACATGTTATTATTAGCTGGTGTAGTGGGGAAATTAAACAAGTTTGTAGTACAAAACACATACCATAATATCATAACATACAACATTTAAACTTTAAGGAATGTTTTGAAATTTGCTGGTGAAATAATTTAACTGCGTGACCTTGATCGAAGTAGTTAATTCCCTCGTGTTGTGCGCACATTTACTGTGTATAGTAATAATACATAAAGTCTCGTTGCAAACAAAAGCTGGCAGAGAAATACAAATTCCTCAGATGTAGCCAATAAGTTGTAAATCAATGAGTCACACAGCATTAGTTCATCTGAAAGATTGCAGTGTGCAGTGTGTGACTGTTTTATTTCAGGATAACTTCTGTATTTTTCAATCTGGACCCTATTTTCCCATAGTTTTGTGTCTATGTGACTAATTGGGACAATATTTTTTAAAACTGGTCCAGTAGTACTGAGCGAGCACACTGCAGTCAGCAGCAATGAGACAGGGCTGCAACGAAATCCTTGTGGGCAATTGTGCCTCTGTGTGCCTGACATCTTTATGGAAATGATCCCTACAGAGATAGAGCCTTTTTTAAAAGAGCAGCCACTATAATGTTCTCATCAGACACTGGACTCCTTGACAAAAATTGAATTTTACCCCTCTGGTCTACTGCTGCCTTGAATTTTGGAGATTGTTTCCTATTGAACTGTAAAAGTTGTTTCTTAACTTGATAAAAGTTTGAGGTTTGCTCCATGGTTGAATGTGGATACATCTTTTTACTTCCTTTGCAAAAACTATTAAAAACTGACCTGCAAAACAACTTTTTTCCTAATATTTGGTTGAGACTGATCTCTAGCCTCATTACCCATGCAAACACACCCTTGTGATTTTGAAGTTCATGTAAGGGCACTGTTGCATATCATAGAGGTGATTCACACTAACCTTTCAGAAGCACACAACCTTCAGCAAGTGTACTTAACTACCATTAAAGATGAATATTAACTATGTACAGTATGCCTGCAAGTTTGTGTGTTGCCTGTGTCACATTGGTATTGACGGCGTGAGGACAGTACTCTTCCATGGCATTGCCCTTCAACAGTACTGGCTGCATGCAGGGGCCTGTCTGATCACAGAGCAGAAAGATTGGCTGAGCTTCTTTTAAATTTGCTCAACAAACTTGGGCATTTGTGAATGACTCTTGGGTTAAATACAAAGAAAGCTCAAGAAGCGAGAGTCACACTTCATGGTTAGAGGCTTCCATAGAGGGCAGTCGGACCACTTTACATTAGACCACTTTTGTGTTATAAAAGTCTTACTGAAGCTGAACAAGAGCACTGTGAGGGAAAATGGTTTGACCAATCTGTGAGAAATGGCTTCAGAGAACTGAGGTGGAGAGAAGAAGCCAGCGCTAATCAGGTGTGTCTTTAGTGGTTCCTGCTGAGAGCTGCATAGACAGAGAGGGGCTGAAGCCGCAGCCTATCCTTGCTTAGTTTTCTACAACTCTCTTTCTTCTTCCTTTCCTGTTCCCTGTTATTCCACTTTCTCCTCCCGTATTCTACCTCTCTACCCACATGTCCAGAGCTGCATTAAAACTTCAGTGCTCATTAAGCTACTATTTGGCCCGTTCTCTCAGTGATTAAGGTCTTAATTAAACTCAGTGCCAAAGTCTTACAACACCCAAGTGGGTGAGCACAGCAGGAGTAGAGCCTGAGCTAATTAGTCGTGACAAGTGAACGGCCAAATCTCCATTTGTGTGTGACTCTCTGACAGCAATTGACCCTCGTGTGCCTCTACAGAGTCACGCGTGGTTTCTTTTCACGTCCCCCTGGCAGCGTTAGCATGCAGGGCATGTGCTGCAAGGCCCTGTGTGAAATATGTATTTTATGAGAACTGCCAGAACTCAGCAGTGGGAATCACGCCTGCTGCTGGCACATGCACACACACATGTCACGCTTTGTCTTTACGTTCTGCTTCACACATTTATCTCTCAGACACACTAGGGGTGCTGCTACCACCCTTCTGAAAGCAAACGTCCGTTAGCTGATATCTCACATGGCTGGAATATCTTTGCTTTAACATTAGTAAGAGATGCAAAATCCCCTGTGTGCTGAGGGCCCTCTCGCCTACATACCACAAACCTCGACAGTCCAGCGCTGTAGATCACATGGCCACAGACAGGCTGTGAGGTATTTCGATTCTCAGAAGAGCTGAATGAGGACGGGTGTTCCCTGGGATATTTTTCTGATGTCGCTCAGACAGTCAGGCTCTTTCTCTTGAACATCCTCAGGAAGGCTTTTTTTCCTGTTTACCTGCCAAATTGCTGTTGTGTCAGCTCTGAGGTGTTCTCATGCTTCCTTCTACAAAACACAGGCACACACACACAACCAGACATAAACCATCACCATAGGCTGATGTCCAGACGGCAGCTGACCCCCTCACAAAAACATCTACTTTCACAGAAAAGCTCACATGTAAATTCTCACCTACATCCATCCACCTTTACATCTTACTGGACTGAGGAATGTCCATATGGGGTTATAAACTTCCTGGAAACTCTTCCCTGTGAGTTATTTCATAAATTCTGACCCACCAGTGAGACCTCTGCAAGTGTATAAATAAATATCAAGGTTTTGTGACTGCATCATTATAAAGCATATAACATTTTAAAAAGATAATCATTTACACAGTCTAGGTTTCTATGTTTTGGGGAATCGAGATCCTCTCCCGGCCTTGAATGCACATGCAAGGAGAGGAGAGGAACAGCAAGAAAGAAAAACACAAAAACAATCTCACAGCTCTGACCTAAACCTTAATAAATGTGGACAGACTAACATAAGGAATATAGAAGAAGGATAAGGATATATATATATATATAAGATATAACAATAATAGTAAAACAGTAATAATAATAATAGTAAAAGAACATGCATAAAAGATTAAATGTAAGAGGACACAATTCTCTGCCATAACAGTAACAAACCCACAGATAATTATCGCTTGGCACTCTGCAGTTGCCTTCAGCTCTACGAAACTTTATAGCCTCTTTCATCTTGTTGTTTTGGTTTCCCGACCCCCAACTTTACTGTTTTGTTTCACTCTCACCCCTCTCACATTTGTCAATTCCAGCTGCAGCAGGCAGCTGTTTTCAAAAAAACCTCTAAAGACCCAGCTGTAACTAAGTTAGCGGCTAGCTGGTTATTTAGCACCTTAAGAGCCGGAGGTGGGACCAAGTCACAAGTAAGCCGGACCGATCGAGACAGGCAAGTCCGAAGACAATCTCACAGCTTGTCAAGTCTGACAAGTCCCAAGTAAACTTTGAGTGTTGAGTCCTAACAAGTCATAATGTGCTCTTCACCAAATTAAATACCATTTCATGTTTCATAATTTCATATTACTCATTGACTTAAGAAACATCATTAATTTATTTGAATTTTAAAATTTAATGCTTCTTTTTAAAACATTATTATATTTGCATTACCCCAAAATCCTAAATAGCCCCTGAAATAAGAAATAGTAATTCAACATTATTAACTTTAAACAGCATGTAGAGCGCAAGAGGATGACAGCAGAGCAATGTTTCCCGTAGTTGACTGCTTTGTGGGGGGGATGGGCTCTGAGTGTGTGTGTGTGTAGTGTGTGTGTGTGTGTGTGTGTGTGTGTGTGTACGTGTGTGTGTGTGTGTGTGTGTGTGTGTGTGTGCGTGATGTAAAGCAAAGCAGGCGGTAGGTGAACTATACTATATAGTGAAATATATTGTATTTCAGTGCGGAATGTAACGAGTTGCGCTAAATAACGCTGAAATACAAACGTGGTGTTCTGTCCAGAGATGCAGTGACTTAAACCAGCAGTGAGAAAACTATAAATTTGAATGACGTTAGAAGACGCGGACATAGTAGATATTTTACAAGCACGGACCAGGTAAAGCAACACTCCTGGTTTAGTGTAAGTATAAATAATAATCCATCCATTAACTATGCCCGCTTATCCTGTATGGGGAAGTGTAAAATGCCACAGGCTAAAGCCAATAATGTTAAAGTTATAGCAGTTATAACCCCAGGTCATGTCAACTTGAGCTGAACTGAATCACAGCCTGGCAGAAAGTGAGTTTGGACTTTTAGGGAAGGACAAGAGCTACAGCTGTAAATTTCTAAGACAAAACAAGTTTCACTGTCAAACGGCAATGATTGTTTTTTTCCATTAACTTGTTATTATAATCAGTAGAAGCCAAAGTTGTATTTGAGATTAAAATTAAATTAATTGCACAGCTCTATGTTGATGCAATGCAACATAGTTTTTTTATATATCATAATTTATAAGCACCTATTTGGGCTTGTTGTCCTGCCCTGAAGTGGCCAAAAAAATCATTTAATTCAGGTTTAGATAACTTTAATGGGAACTGAAATACTTTTTACAATGCTTATATTCATTTCTTCATCTTAGAATAGTAAATAACGTTCTGAATTGGTTGGTTTATTGTTTTCATTAATTGCTAAAAGTGTGAAAAAAATGTTGCTTGTGTTCCCAATTTCCCAACTGTGACTTGACGTCATTTGAAAATGCACACACCTGTGGGAGGAAAAAAGAAAGGCACACTGACACGACACAGTGAACCCCGAACCCGCGGGGAGATTAGGGGATGCCAGCAAAAGTTTGGATAACCCTGATCCATGTTGAAAGAGAATAATGAACTTGTCATTCAACACACCTAAAATCCCACACATGTGATTTTATAATTGTAATTGACCCATTTAAGATTCTAATCAAAGGACACCGAGTGTGCTGGCAGCACAATAGGTCATTGTTATGTTTGCTAAGCTTCTTACTATTGTAAATAGGTCGACCTGATATATGATGTGTTAGTGCCTGGTGCCCGCCACCTTGTCCCCTTTACTGTGTGTCATGAATGTCCCCACGCTGGGTCCACAGAGCCCTCTGAATTTCATTGAGAACTGACTATAGATCGGCCTCCACATGTTTAATCCTACCTCAAAGAATTTGTTGAACTAGCAAGAATAAAGACGGTGGATGTCTGCCTGAGTATAGCTTAGTCTGTGTTTGAACTGTGGAGTCTGGAACCAAACTGGGTCATGGCTTTGTTTCATGTTTCCTCATGACATGGAAACTAGTATTTTTTTAATGAGTCTGCTCTGCAGAGGGAGAGATGGGTTACCGGGTGCAAACTCTATAGGCAGGAGCAGTTCAGTGTCTTAAGAAACTCCTCAGTGTGGTTCATCCTGGTTACATAAAGCAGCTGTCTGCCCTCTGTTGGTCAAAATAACATACTACACTTAGATTATTTTTTGACTCATGACAACCCTGAGATGTTACACACACAGGCTCAATGTATTTCATGCTGTTGAGGTCTAACATTTTTTATTAGTGTAATAACTGACATCTAATGTGTCTATATATATCATTTCTTATTTCTCCTCTCCTCTGTCCCTGCAGCTCCCCAACATGTTTGGTTCTCTGAGCTCCACCATCATGTCTCTGATGATTGGTTCTTACGCCTCCTCTGCTGTCACCTTCCCTGGAGTCAAGGTACATTACGAAGGGTATATTAGAAGAAATTGAAGATAATATTCACAGTTTTCTCAAATAACTACTCAAATAATTTTCTCAAATAAACCATGTAAATAAACTGTATAGCCATAGTACTACATAATGAACATTGTGGGTGAAATCAGCGAGCAAGTATCAAAAAAAATTTCAGTCAGTGAGGGTTTTTTTGGGAGAAGTTGTGGTCAAGCTACCTGCAGCATCAAACTTAAGAACATGACTAATGTTGTGTGGAAGTATAGATAAGCAAATGTTTGTTACCATGTTCACCAACTTTACTAGGTGACAATATGTCAGTGTTCTGTTGCCCCCAAGTGGCTAAAAACATAAATGAATGCACCTTTAAAAGTAAGTGCATGTTGCTTGAAAAATATAATAACCCCCTCTCTCTTCTTTCCAGCTGATCTACGATGCCGGCGTGTCCTTCCAGGTTATCATGTGGGTGTGGGCGGGTCTTGCCGGGTCTGTCTTTTTCAACTGTTTCCTCAACTGGCCCACAGAAGGTTTCCCAACACCTGACGAGGTAGACTACAGGTCAGTGTGGACGCCAGCCTGTCGCTTTGTCTCTTTCCAGAGACACAAAAAATGTTTATCAGAACATTGCTCATTCATCTAACCTCAATGTGTGTGTATGTTTATATATAAAACAGCAAGATCCTAACACTACAAGAGCTGCCTTCGTCAGACCAGAAGGTTGTTGGAAAGAGACTGAGCCAGAAAAATGGAGACGTCCGACACTCGACAGAGAAACTTCCTAATGGAACTGACGCTGAACCCAGTGAGTCAACAAACACACACACAACTGCTATGCTTGAAACCATTCATGCTTTATATCAATACCTCTCCTTTTTTTGGATTGTGTCCCTTTAAAACAAAACTTGGGACCCCTCATTTACAAGAAAAGTCTTAAAAGAAACAATTCATTGTGCAGAAATTTGCTTTTTTCTGACTTCACAAAAATATCTGAGGGGTCACGAGATTATTAAAGGTTCAGTGTGTAATATTTAGGAAGATATATTGCCAGAAATGCAACTTCGTGGTGAATTAAGACCCTACATAATGAACCGTTATGTTTTTATTACCTTAGAATGAGCCATTTCCATCTACATACATACTGCCATTTTTCTACAGTAGCCCAAACAGACAAACTACTCTACAGAGCACCTTCCGTCACTACATTGAATACGTACAAAGAAGAAGAAGAAGAAGAAGTCCTAGTAGTAGTAGTCATCTGGTTTGTTAGAAGTAAGAAGAGAAGTGATATTTGGACAAATGGAAGACCACACGTATTATTTAGACAGAGCGTGTCGGCCAACATATGCCGTTTTTCCAATACCAGTACCAGCTCAACTCACCTCGACTCGGTTTAGCCGTGCTCCGTTTTCCATTGCAGATAGTACCCAGAGACAGTACCCATCAACGTAGCTGGTCGTCATAGCAACGCCACACACAACGTAATGCGACACACACACAGCTGTCTCTAGATTTAAGTTAACACATTTCAACATTACTCAGAATTTCCTCTGCCGTTGTTGCTGCAGCAGTCTGTGTGACGGCGGGACCAGAGGGCTCTGTGAGCGGGCGGCTGGCCGGCCTCGGGAGCTCTTCCCGTGGGTCCGCCACTTGCGGAGTTCCTCAACTCCAAAAACTTTCAAGCACAATTTTGTTCCACCATAAATTTTTGTAAAACTGTCAATATTCGAAATCTACACAGATGATTTCTCACCTCAAAACTTCTCAGAAGTGGATTTAGTGATGAAATAATGTATGAAAATTGTAAAATATAAAACTTTCTGTTGCTGGCCTCTGTCCGGCGCGCACAATGATGATGCAGTGAATATGGAAGATTCTCTCTGACCAATGAGTAGTCTGCCATGTTTTCACGTCACATTTTAGTATTGCCTCAGCTTGCTTGGAACCTCGGCAGAGGTGATATAAAAAAAAGTACCTGGAAGCAGGGACAGGTACAACTTTTCCACAGTGGAAAACCAAAACAAGGCAAGCAGAGTCGAGGTGAGTCCAGCTGGTGCTGTGCAGTAATAAAGTTGCTATAGTTTCTACTACGTGCTTGCAAAGGGAGGGGTAAGTGGTGATTGAGCTGTAGGTTGCAATCTGCAACCCTCACAAATAGATGCCACTAAAACTTACACACTGAACCTTTAACAGGATAGAAGGGGTCATCCCTCCGTGGGTTGCGACCCCCTGGTTTATATATGACTATATATATATATCTATATATATATATATATATATATATATATATATGACTGCTTTGCTGAAAGAATGACAGACTGGATGCCGCACAGCTTATGCATTTAAACTCTGACTAGAACAAAATCCTAATCACCTGCTCTTAACTTCTCTTTGTGTATGAAAGTAAATGAATGAACTCACGTTGGACAACACCGAACGTCTCCTCCTCTCTCAGACGCTGTTCCCTTCCGTCGGTCTGTGTTCTCTCCCATCTTCCTGTGGAGTCTGATTACCATGGGGATGACCCAGTTGAGGATCATCTTCTTCATGGGGGCGATGAACAAGATGCTGGAGTTTATGGTCACCCACGGTAAAGAGCATCGTGAGTGTCAAACCCTCAACCACATTCTCAGCAACAATTATTGTTAAACATAAAAGACTTACTGACAGAGTGGGTCTTTGTTTTGTATTTCAGCATCTGAGCAGCTGGTGATAGAGGCAAAAGAGAAAGGTGAGTAGGGTAATAAAACATCTTTAAATTTGTATACTTTGTGTCTGGCATATGTGTTTTTTTCTTCATCTTAATTTGATTTAATATGTCCTCCTTCAGTGAGTTTCTACTCGTCCATTTTTGGCACACTGCAGCTTCTGTGCCTGGCCACATGTCCTCTTATTGGATACATCATGGACTGGAGGATGAAGGAGTGTAAAGAGGACAAGACTGTCTCCCCAGCTACAGAGCAGAGGTAAATGTCAAGTCATGACAGTTTAAAAGTTGTAGAATCAACAGTGTTGATACAATTGATACAAATCACAGTGTCTACATTCAAGAAAATCGTGAATATTCTAAACATGACATGGTCCATTTTGTTTGATGTAACCAGATGTGACAGACAATGCATGTTAATGTTGGATGGTGTCATTATAATGGTCCATTATAATAGTCCAGCATACTATTAATGTTAAAACACCCCCCCCCCCACCGTCCCCATCAGACAGACCAGTGGACCCAAGAGAGACAGTAAGATCCAGAAAGTGACAAACGCCATGAGAGCCTTTATTCTCACCAACATGCTGCTGCTCATTTTTGGATGCTGCTGCCTCATAGACAACCTGCCTCTACAGGTAGCACAAACACACATACCTGAACACACACACACGTAATGGCAGCCAGAGAACAAGCAAAGAATAAATCGATCCAACAGATCCATTGATTGTGTCGCTTCTTTACTCTTTTCCTTCCTCAGATCTTGACCTTCATCCTCCACACTATGGTCCGAGGCTTCATCCACTCCTGCTGTGGAGGCCTTTATGCTGCTGTGTGAGTGCTGCAGAGCCACCTCATCAACCACACCATCTGAAGCTCTGTGTAACGCATTCACATCTTAGAGGAAATGGAAAAGCATAACCTAGTTTCCAGTTCATTAATAAGATAATAAACATGCAAGTTTACAAGAGAATAATATTTGAGACCTGACAAGACTATTTCCTGACCCATTTAGAGCTGTTTTCCAGCACCATATAAACACCAAACAAAGCAGCACTTTACAATGTGATAAAGGCAACCAGATGTGGTACAAAAGTAGGTGATGCTGTATTATGTGTGTTAAACAACCACACCACTGCAACCACTCAACATATTCTTTTATCAAAAGGCTCAATTGAATCAAAAGTCTACTGCTGAAAAATGCATTACAATATTAAATTATGTAAATAATTACAGAACATGTTGTCATGTAGGTTTCGTGGTAGTCCATTACCACACAAGACAGCGTGTGGGCCTGTACGCAGCAGAAATATGTCCCTATGTTAACTGGAGGAATGTAAAAATCACTACGACAGGCTTTCAGCATCCAGTCAAAACATAACTCACTAAAAAGTTACATTGAATGTTTTATGACCTGAGAAGAGCTCACTGTCTCGGTTTCCTATATTGCTTCTTCTGTGCTCTCTCTGGCAGTGATTAACAGTTTCCCATCATAAATTTGTACCACAGAAAGCAACAGCTCATTTGTTTTATAGCATTTTCCTTACTGATGTGGGGCTCACTGTCATTTAATTTGGTGTTTCAAACTTTTGTTAACCACCCGTATCTCTCCCACAGCTACCCGTCCAACCACTTTGGCACCCTGACAGGCCTCCAGTCCATGATCAGCGCTGTGATCGCTCTGCTGCAGCAGCCCCTCTTCATCGCCATGGTGGGACCACTGAAAGGAGACCCGTACTGGGTGAGGATGCACACTTATCTCCAACTCCAAACACCTCCAGCGATGTATGGAGTTATATTTGTGTCTCAGTTCCGAGGGCGCAATGAGACATTTTGAGCACCGTAAAAAAATGTTTTGAAGCACATAAATTACATTTTGTAGAGAAATTATAACTGCTGTATGCTCAATCAATTTATTTGCATGTTTGCTACATTATAACCACATAATCCCACAGAAATAACCTCTGACTCAGTTTTTCTCATTTGCTCATTCCCTTTTCCCTGATGGCTGATATTCAAAATAAACTCTGACACCCACTAGGAAGTGTATGATTGTAACGATCCACCTGTGTCATCCAACTACCCCTCAGATCAACCTCGGCCTGCTGATCCTCTCATTGGCTGGCTTCCTGTTGCCGGGTTACCTGTTCTACCACCGCAGACAACTGGTGAGGGAAAAGGAGGCGAGAGACAAACGGGCCGCCGAACAGGAAATGCTGGTGCTCAACCACAACGAGGCCAACGGCTACAAACCTCACAGCAACGGCCTCACTGCCGTAGAGGCTTAGAGCGATTTGGGGAACTGTAGGATTTATTTTTGGATGTGCCTTCAAAATGAGCATCAGCGATCCACTCATCCACACATATTTACAGTGTTGTTGTTTTTGGACATTGCTGGTGCACATTTTGCTCACCATAAACCATTTCACAGAGCAAATACAATCCTCTTTTTTATATGACTCAGAATTAGACTTTAAGTTACTTGTGATTTTGGGAGAATCAGTGTCATCATCATTTGTAGCTCTTTATTTATTTTCAGTTTAGTTCAAAGAGCCAAATTAGCGTGATTTAAAGCCATAGATTTCACTCATAAGCACACGCAAAGACACATGCACACATCCCAGTATGGCCTGTGTGTCAGAACTGTGGATATCACGGTACTTGAAATACTGTTACATAGTTTCATCACAATCACAATCCTCACTGACACCAAAGAACAGCTTAAAGACACTAGGAGAGCTACACAATCTACTTCAGTATTGTTTCAGAAGTGTGTTTACCGAAGCAAACTCTTAGTATATTGTGCTGTTTCTACTGTAATCCCTTAAGCAAAAGCTATCTATAAAACACTGTTAAACGCATACAAGCTGGCGAAGAAAATGCAAAGCATGTGAACATCTGAATACCAGATTTCTGGTACATGTGAAGAAGCTTTTGGGACATTTTCAGAGCCCAGTTATTCACACACACACACAGATAGGCTGGTTGTAGAGACACCTCATCTACCTCCTCTGTTTCCTTTTTTGTACTGTCTCTCTGCAGCCGACCCCTATGTCTGTCCATCTGTTTTTCTCACATTAGGAAATGTTAATAATTTGATAGTCAAAACACCCAAATTGAATTTCTCCTTGTGCAGTCATGTTCTTTAGAGTATTACTGAGTCAGCCCTTTGTATTTCTGCAATTTTGATATGTAAAAAAAAAAACATTTTATGGAAATTTAACGAGGAAAAGTATGACTGATTTTTAAATTCTGACACACAGTGTGTGTCAAAGTTAATGAAACACTTTGTACTGCTTTATGCACAGAAATGAACTAGTGTGTGTATGAATATGTATTTAAGTGTCTTTTTATACTCTAGCTGCAGTAGCATTGAAAAGGGAAGCGTTGGTTTCAGCATCAGTAAATGTTCTTTTGTAGTGTGCTAATTATAAATGAAGCTCAGATGATTGGAGATGTGTATTCTGCTTTTGCCTTTTTGCGTTAGTCATGTATTGATTTTGGAGCAAACCAACATCCACCAGAATTATTTTTTGTAGAAGGAACTGAGGTGTGTCTTGTATTTTATTACATATTCTGCTTGCTTTACTAGATATGGGTGTGTACAGTATATTAACTGATGGCCGAGGAGACACTGGCTGTGGCTAAACTTGATTTTTTTTCCTGTGATTTTTCTGCTTGGATGCTCAAATTCACATTAAAAAGACAAATCTAGCTGCAGCCCTTGATCCCTTTTTTTCAACTGGCTGCTGCAGATCAAAACAGAAAAATTTGCGTTCTTCATGTTGGTTCTGCACACAGCAACAACACGATGTAGATCTATGCAATCAGCTGTAATGTATAAATTATATATTTTTTTGACTCTATCCATTTCGGTGTCCGGACAGCTCAAGCAGATTTTCCCTTTCTTTTCTGATGAACTTCTCTCCTGCTGTCTGGTTCAGCCTCTTGAATCTTTGCTCTCTCACTTTAAAGGAGATTCTGTTTTTGTTTTAAGTACGTGCCTTTTTCCATAAACCAAAGCCATGTATAGGGACTGCAAGCTAGTCGACAGGACGGCACTTTTCCTCAGGAGAACACACCGGAATGCCTTACAACACAATACTTTAATCATGCAGTAAATACCAGTTTGGTTAAAATGCTTGGTTTGTGTTGATTGTCCCAGGTGTTGATTCAGCTTGGTTGTCATCTCTGAGGATGTACTTTGAGTAGTTTAGTTTAAATGCTGTTAAGTGCAGTAAGCATTTCAATCTGTGTTTGAGGTTTTCCTGTTCAATTAAGGTTGTTTCATTCCTCTGTCTGTAGTACAGTATTTTGTAATGTTTGAGACAAATGTACCAACAATTCCAGTAAGAACTATCTAACCTTTTGGTACGTCACTAAGTTGCTGTTAGCCCTCTATTAAACCTGACAAATACTGCCAAATGGCGTTTAAGGTAATGTGACTCCCTTGTACTTACCAATAGTTGCAGCATGAATCAACACCTCTGACAATCTCTTACACAAAATTAAATCATCTAATATTTTAAGACTATCATCTACAGTGGCTCACCTCATCTCTCAACCCTTGGGGTTAAAGCGTTGGTATGTCATGCTAAATATGCACCTTTCTTTCTTGCCTTCAACCAATATCCAGCTTATGTATTTGATAAACAAATAAACATATGAATGTAAACGTACTGTCAAGTGACTTTTTTTTGCCATCCATTCAAACAATTCTCTCAGAGCAGCAAAAGAGCCTCAGCATCAGCTCTGTTTGTCAATATGTACCTAATGATATAATCTTAATAACCAACAAATCCTACAAGCAGACAAAGACACAAAGACAATAACCAGTTTATTTGATTTTGGCATTAGGGTCAAAAGATATCACAACGAAATCAAAAGGAGGGACATACATACAGTGCCTGCACAGTCATCCAAAGGCTTTCTGCCTTTTACACTGCTATGCTATTTCTTTCCATCATCACACACATCCACTGTGTCGCTGCTCCTTTAACTCTCGCTCACGCACACACACACACACACGCGCGGATCATTTGATTCATCTCCTCATTAAACATTCTCCCAGTAATACAATTATCTGTAAAACACACACGCATCCTCTTACAAAATGCACAGTCACACGCATTCAAACACAAGCGTGCACACAGTGGGCTCCTGTCTATCTGAGGCTGTTGCTGTTGGGTTGTGATCCAGCAAGGCCGGGGTGGTCTGGACTGTGGCGGTTCTGAATGAGGACAGAGAGAGCAGCAACGCACAGGTTTATATTTAATGTGCATCAGTGACTGTGCCATTTAACCAGACTACATTTTACTTTTACAGGCATGCCGGGGATGAAATTGAACCGAACACACAGCTGATGTGTTCACTGTTGCTAGTTAACATGTACAACAAAGTGAAGCAGGAGGAATTCAGTGAGCCTACACATCCGGTACATTTGAGAGTCTGTTTAACACTGAATTTTGAGGGGAACAAATAAGCTTTCTATCAGCTTTTGGAGGGAACTGATGAAGATAATTTTCCAGGTTTTGTATATTCGAGGGATTTGACTATAACTAGTAGATACAAAAAGCTTTTGAATCTGTACAGTAGATGGCTTCAGCTGGCAGCTGAGAACCGGGTGCAGGTACTGTTTTTCATATCATCTCCGTTGAGGTTCCAAGCGAGCTGAGGCGATACTAAAATGTAACGTAAATACACTACAGACTGCTGATTGGTCAGAGAGAATATAAAATTTATTCTCTTTCCAAAACCTAAAATAAATCCAGAAAAATGCCGCTCTGGGTTGTTCCTAATGTAATGTTAGTTAGCTAACTTCCTAAACACATTACATTTATTCATTTAGCTGACCCAAAGCGACTTACAAATGCATACATATATATATATATATATATATATATATATATATATCTCAGAGGTCGCACATGCCTCTGGAGCAACTAGGGGTTAAATGTCTTGCTCAGGGACACATTGGTGGGCCTGTCACAGTGGGGAATTGAGCCTGGGTCTCTCACACCAAAAGCATGTCTTATCCAGTGTACTGTCGCCACCCTACTTTCTACTGAATGTAATGTAATAAAGCCCTACTGTTCTGCTTTTTAATGATTGTGATAATGAATAGAGGCCTACCCAGCTTTACAGGAACAGTGTTGACCGTTCATATCGGTGTCTTTTGTCTCAATCTTCGGGGGATGAAGTGGTTCACTTGTACTGCGGTAGGCTTTAGCTTTTATCTTTAATTTTTTTCACGTCCGTTTGAGTCATTTTGACAGCCTGAATATAACGTTCAAATGTATAATGCAACTGCAAAACTGTCTGCTTCTTTCGATATCTACACTCCCTGGAGAAAAATTGTCAAATTTGTTGGAAAAAGCGATCTCAGAAAGAAGCAGACAGTTTTGCCGTTGCAACAGTTGACTTCTATCAACCTCACTGGGTAGCGACTGTAACTATTACACTGCTGTATGGATTCCAGAACCTTTTGTACTTACTAGTCATTCTGACACCAAAATATAAGAAAATGGGGCCCGGGTTTTAAAATTATGAATTTATCCTTTAAGATAATAATGTTCAAGAATGAGTTTGGTGCGGTTAAGGTTAGTATATGGGTCTCTTCCATCTCTGCCCATAACTGCATTAGTAATAATAATACCGCATAACTGAATTACTGACGTCTTGATAGATGAACTTACCTTCTTCTTTTTCTTGTCTTTCTTCTTTTTCTTGCGGTCAGGGTCATCGTCCCTCTTTTTCTTCTTCTTCTTGGGATCAGAGTCTGATGGAGTTTCTGTGTTGTCCAAAAAAAGCAGGTCAGTGGTCTGAAAACATGTTACATTCCTTTGCGTTTGTTTATACTGTACATATAGTTTACCTTGTGGTAATGGGTCCTGTGGTCGATGGTGTTTGTGCTTGTGTTTGCTCTTCTTTTTTGGAGGCTGTATGTGCATCAGTCTGTACTGTTCTGGGAGCTGGGAAAAACAAACAAAGCATTCATGAGTGTACATTTTGAATTATACAATATAATAGAAATTTAATTTGCTAATAGTTTGGGTAATCGGTATCTGCATGATGAAAATTTGTGACTTTAGAACTTGTGCGTGCGTGTTGTGTATAGTATTCAGGTAGTACCGGTCCTGTGTGTAGTCTGAAGCCTGTGAGCAGAGCGCCGGTCAGTGGGCTGAAGGAGTTCCCACACACTGGAGGCTTATCGATCAGAGAGCGCAACGAGCTGCCGTCCTGAGTGCCCGGACAGTCGATCATACCTGCAGCACAGAAGAGGAAGGACAGAAGTGACAGAGATCAAAATACAAGCAATAAAACAGCAAGGTGGTAAGAACTGAAAACACAGCTATGAAGATGTAAAAGAGAGGTCAAAACTACAGCAACACTTGTAGCATGAAATATAAATGTATTTTAACACCTGTCTATTTCAGCTTGCTGCCTTCTTCTACGTCATTGTTTGATCAGTAGGTTTGGGGGCAGCAGTGGCTCAGAAGGACATACATTAATGGCAGAGCTGGCGGTTCCACCCCCCGACGACTCCTGTGCATGTCCTTGAGCATGACACTGAACCCCATGGACTACATTTATAGATCATTTTTCTACCTTAATGCCACTCAAGATAGAAAAACGATATATAAATGCAGTCCATTACCCTTTGTAAAGAGAAGAACAGGGAGCAACAAGTTTTAGATGACCCTGATGAAGGTTACAAGCCGAAAATTGACAGCCAGTTTTAAACACTGCAAGTGTTGCTGAAATGTTGACCTTTCAAGATAACAGCTCCATTCCCAGTGAATCTGCCAATGAGCGGCCTAGTATAAAATGAGTGGAGTTATGCAGAGCTATCAAGGACAAAGTCACTTGGAAACTACTGTCCTACTTTGAACAAGAATCTCTGCCTTTACTAGTTATTATTTTCTAATGGAGGTGTGTGTGCAGTCCCCTTCATTAACACTTGCCTGTCGGGCCACATTCGTTATTTGCATAAACCCACCTGGTAACTCTGGAAGAAAGTTGCTGAGCTTCTCCTTTACCTTCTTCCCACAGAATTTGTTGTAGGCATGCTCCAGGTTGTAGTGCGTGATGAGGTTGGTGTTGCCAGTTAACTCGTTTCCCACTAAGCACACAGAGTCATATTAGTGTGATCCATGCAAACACCATCAAGTCATGTCATATATAAATAACTAATAGATTTTATTTAAATTGCTGTGTGACCATTTCCAGCTATTAGTTCAGATATGATTTCTGCATGACGTTTAACTTTAAGACACAGGAGTTAAAACCGAGGAAACTCAATTGGAAATGTTTGTGTCAGACAACATTAAAAACAACTCTTCCTATGACACACTAGTGAGGTAACACCGGTATTTACCTTACTCAATATTCTCGGTAACACTTATATTCTTCTGCTATCTTTTTTGCTAACGTTAGCTAGCATTGTTTACAAACTGCTGAGCAACCTTTGAGTCCGGCTCACCCATTTCTTTAAATACAGACAAATAACATACAAAGCATACGACTGTTAAAATAATTCCGACAGTACCAGGAAGCTCCCGCAATAAGTAGAAAGGTTCATTCATGGCTCCGGGCTTCCGCAAAACAGGCCCTTCGTCCCCGAGCTGCGGTGGCATCTGCCCCGCCAGGGAGACTTGATTCTGCGGCAGAGGCGGCGGAGGTTTCCCTGGTCCGAAACCCAGAGACGACGAGCCGGGCGGTCCCTGAGCTTCATTTTGCCCGAACAGAGTTGAAAACATTTCCGTCATATCGATCACGAATAATACATTTATATGCGATAAAAAAGACGGTTACTTCAAGTGTATGGCCTTTTTACGATGAAGCTCACCGTGAATCCATCCCAGCGTCAACTACTCGACTCTTCACTTCTTTGTGGCATTATTTTCACGGCCCCTGTACCGTAATACCGGGCACAAACACAGACATTACCATAATGCTTGGTGTATGTTGGCCCACACGGATGTAATCACGGAGATGACAAAACAATTTTTATTTCCAAGTTTTCAAGTTTATTTTCAGACAAAACAGACATAGTAAACAAAATCAATTATGTACAGTTGTGTTATTTGATATATCTGTAGATCAAGATTACACATCAAAGACATCAGCAGGGCAGAGAGAAGATGCCAGCCTTTCAAACTCTGTGACTGATGCCTAAAAGTTGAAGGACAAAAGAAAAACAACTGTTAACACTCAAGGCAAACTTCTATTTGATATATTAGACTCCTGCAAGATGAAAGGAGGTGGTGTTTTACGTCGATGATCCTTGGTGCTCAAACACAGTTAAGTTGGACACCGTTTACCAAAATTCAGACTTTTTATTTTAACGACGAAACCTCATCATCTTAATGATGCTTTGTACATTCTCCCCGGATGCAAATTCAAAAAATGCACTGCATAATATTCAGTGTGTAAATGCCTGTATATATGTATTTAAGTCATTGTATTGTTATAATTTATTTTATATGTTTCCATATTTTAATATACAATTAGTTCTGTGTGTGTAGCATGAAAGGACTACAAATTAAATTTTGTTATATAACCTTGTGCTGTATAATGACAAATAAACAACCTTATACCATGCTGTATACTGGTATGTCTACTTATATTTTGGTGCAAATTTTGGCCCCAGCTGTCAGACAGTGTTCTCCTACAAACAGTACAAATGCCAAAACAATGCTTTTTCTCCTTTCTTTTTCAATAATTAAAAAAAAGCATCCATCCATTTTCTGTATATCAAAGTTATCAAAACTTACACGAAATGTCAAATGTAGGTAAAATTGCAGGAATATGTTTTCTATGTATTATGTAATAGAGCTTTGGCGGATTCATCTCCAGATGACATCGACTGTCATAAATAAACTTTAGAGTAAAGACTCAAGAATTACTTAACACTTATTTGCACAATATGTTTTTTGATCTTCCACTCACCTTCCACTCATCAACAGCGGTAGAAATACGATGTTCAGTTTGAGCGATACTCTCTCTACCAGCCTGAACCTTCTGTGCTAGGGAAGCGTTCTCTACTTGAATCTTTTTTAGCTCCAGTCGCATGTAGGCTTCTTGCTTCTGATAGTATGGCATCAAAAAGCTGCAAAGGTCGTGGTCGGGAACACCACTCGGCCGCCTATCAGAACAAGTGAGATGGTAAAGGATTAAAATGTTTAGTATTTTAATCATGTAGCAAAATAGAAATATTACAGTGGTGATATACAGTGCAGTGAAGAAAGGAAATGTACCTGTATCACAGGTCCTATAGTGAGACACAAGAGTGTAAAGTAGAGTGTAGCCAGACAATTAGATGTTCCTTAATGATTAACATAACAATCCCGAAGCAAATTATTGGTACGGTTACCCAACAACTGCCCACAAAGTAGCCTTCTGTATCTACTTTGAAGAGTTCTGGAAATTTCCACGATGAGTAAGTTGAATATTTTCAGTTAAATATTTGAATATCATAAAACACTTTTATTATTCAGTTCATTAAATGAGACAGGGGTGGAAAAAATCTCAAAAGTTTGCATTCAGAAACATACAAAATGTGCGGATTTGCTATATATGGCAAGAAAATTAACTTACTACTCGCGTGTTGTTACAGTCTATTTGAATTAGTAGTGGTAATGGAAGCTGGTGGAAGTCAGGATTCAGATATTTACAAAGAGGGGAAAGTGTTTCACAGGGAAACTAAGCATTTATAACTTGACGTAACCAGTAGAACATTTCAGAGGAGAGAAAGAAGAAGATGCTTGAAGGTGAATAATTTTTAATGCTGTTTACTGACCATGCAGCCTCTGGATTGTTCTTGGCAGCACTCTCCAGTCTGTCCAGCTCATTCAGTTTGAACTCTAACCGGCCTTCTTCAATCAATCTGCTGATGTCCTCCTTCATATATACAGACACAGGCATTTATGTAAACAAGTCAAAATAAAGGCAGGTAGAACAGTGCATGCATACTGCATACAAGGCAGTGAACATCCATTGGTTGTTTTTCATATGTGGTATTAATGTGATGTGCAGCACACCTGTATAGTCCTCCGCAACTCCTCTATGAACTGCTTGTGAATGCTCTCCATCCTCTGAGGGTTCTTCTTGTACAGTGGACGAAATGTGCTGGCAAATCTGTTAAAACTGTGGGTGAACGCAGTGTCAACCAAAAGTGCAGTGAAGTGGGCCTTTTCCCATAATACCAACCTTTTTCTCAGTGACCTAATCTAGTAATGAAATGATTATTTGATTAATCTCGAAGTTGATCAATAGAACAGTAATTGATGACAACAGTTTTGACTATTGAGGAATTGTTCAGTCACTTAAGAAGAGAAAAGACCAAATACCATTTAAAGCATCTCAAAAGTGAGTATTTGCTACTTTAGTGGTGCTGGACTGGTAGTTGGACAAACAAGAAGGCGTCACCTCGGGCTCTGGGATCTTAAGATGGACATTTTATATCTAAACTAAAATCTACTGATTAACACAAAAATCACTGAGTATTATTCACGTTAAACAACATTCATTAAATTAGGCAAATCTTTTCAACAAGGTCTGGCTTGTGCATTTCCTATGTGTCAATGAATGCTGCAGTCAGGATCATCTTTACATTTATGTTGAGTGCCAGCTTGATACCGTTTGAACCGTTGACTCACCCCAACGATGATCAATAACACGATAACTACAAACGGGGACTGCTGCATACAGGTCTTTCAGAGAGATTACAGAAAATGACACGTTAAGTTACCTGGCATGCTCGATGAACTTTTCCAGGCTCTTCTGCATCACTTTGTCGAACAACTTCAGCCGGTTATACCGACCTTCCGTCTCCTCGGACGGCTTACTAACTGTTTCACGGTTTGACATCTGTGAGGAAATGTCGCCTGTAGCTTCTTTAGTCTGATTTTCAACAGAGTCTTTCACGCATATGTTACCAACAGACTCCTTTTGTGTTGCTATTTCGCTTTCCTCCATTTTTTTCAGCTTCCTCTATTTACGTTTTGCAGTGCCGCCAAATCTACGGCGAGTCGCTGCGCCCATAAACTACGAAATCGATTTGTTTGGCGCAGGCGTAGTTTGATCAAGCTACCACGTTCAGTTACTTCAGCTGTCACTCCTTCTCAAACCCCCTCTTGACTGTCGCGTCTGCCAAGATGGGTCTTATCACAGGACTCTGTACTTTCTTGTACCATTTACCTCAGATATACAAATGGCTGCTGAAGCCGTATTATATCACTTCGTTCTTCATGACCGTCGCCTTCCTGGTGGTCCGAAAGGCTCCAGGTCTGTGCGATCACCTGGCGACCGAGCGTGAGGACGGCAACTCCTGCGACTTTGACTGGGTGAGCATGGTGGGGACAGGGTTGCCCTGCACTGCTGCCTGGTGCTAAATATGGTGGGGCTGTGTTGGCTGCTTTATGATGACTTAGCTAATTTACTATGTTTTGTTTCACAGAGAGAAATGGAAATACTCATGTTTCTCAGCGCAATAGTGATGATGAAGAACAGGAGAGCGAGTGAGTAACCCCCACCCCTACACACACACACACACACACACATTTGTCTATGTGTAAACCAATATGACATGTTAAGTGTTTGTTTACATTAAACAGTCACAAGGGGGCTATGCATCAAGGCATTGATGCCCAATTTGGGAGCAGGGAACCACCGAGCTTTATTGACCCATAAAATTAATGGATCTCCTTATTAAACCTCATCCTTAACCTAAACTGTAAACACTGGTTGTTCAACATCATATCTAACAACAAGGGCATAGGTATCCTATAATGAGTAACTGTTAAACTACAACCCAATAGGTATTGTGACCTAATGTGTAACTGTTTCAAATCCTTCACCTGAAGCCCTGAATCCAAGCCACATTCAGGTGCTGTGTAAACTTTGCTTTGTTGTGTAAACATTACTCAGTGTTAATCCTGCCTTCTTCTGACCTTGAATCAACTGCTTGAAGTTTTTTTTTTCCTCTGGTGCATTCATTGTTCCTCCTCTTTTCTCTCTCTCTCTCAGTCACAATGGAGCAGCACATAGGCAACCTGTTCCTGTTCAGTAAAGTGGCCAACACCATCCTCTTCTTCAGGCTGGACATTCGGCTCGGCATCATTTACCTCGCATTGTGTGTCGGTCAGTGGCCTTGTTACAAATACTGCCCCACTCATGACTAAATGTGAGTTATGGGAAGGGATATTTGTGGACAACCGTCTTCCATCAAGAAGGACAAATTACAAGTGTTTCTAACAAACAGCAGGGTACCAGCCCCATTACCTTCACCACAAAATGGTGAAATTAAAATGTGTCTTTTGCTGTTAAACAACGGCACTATAGATGCAGGTATCCCTATTCCACTGAGGCATTGTGGATGTGCACGCAACCTACCCTTGCGTCTTCAAACAATGCTTGCAATGCAATGGTTTTACAGTAAATTTATTAACCTAAACTGACATTTTCATAGCTTTGGAAAATGTAAAACACACATTTAGCCATTGTTTTCATCCTCTGGGAAACTATGTAACATGTACCTATCTATCTCTTGGCTCCAGCATTCGTCATGACCTGTAAGCCACCTCTCTACATGGGCCCCGAGTACATCAAGTACTTCAGTGACAAACCATAGATGTGAGTGTTACACAGACCATGCTGTATTGCATTGTTTAAATTCTTGTATATTAATTTTATGGTTAAGACGACCATTTGGATGTCCTCTGATGTTAAGTTAAAAACTCAACATATCAAAAAACAACACAACAGGTGGGAATGACCACGTGGTAGTATTTATATGCATTATAATAACGTAAAATGGGAGTGTCTTAGGTTGTTTTCTTTTTGTGCTAATCAATTGCACAATGCAAAATTTTTTAGCATTTCAGTGTCCATCTAACATGGAAGTCCCATCATAATTGCAGTATCCAAGTTAAAATTCTAAAATGTTAAATACTATGTCAGGCATTTTAAATTGAAATAAAATAAGTGATGATGTCCTCCAGTCCTGAAAGTGAGAAGGAGATCTACACCTGTGGAATCTGCCCTAATCTAATGTTGTGTTGGATCATTAGGAGGAGCTGCAGAGAGACAGTCGTGTCACCTGGATTGTTGAATTCTACGCCAACTGGTCCTCCGAGTGCCAGTCTTTTGCTCCCGTTTTTGCCGACCTTTCTCTCAAGTAAGAGTAAATGCAGGCCTTCTGTTCCCCAGGCTCCCCCCTTAAGTAAATTTGTCATCATTGGCTGAGCTGCGTTCATGCAAGACAAAATTCTGGACGAACAGACACTTTTGACTATAAATCTACAAATCAGCAGTCACCTGCTACTCAAATAAGCAACCATGATGTATATGTACTGTGTAGAAAGTATTCTGCTTGAAGATGCTAAACCTTGATTAATACATTTTTTGAATCTAAGCATTTTATATGCTTTTATTAGAATTCATGGCTGTTCTACATTCACTGTAAATCAATGGTCTTGGATGTCTTGGATATGAATTTACCAGCTACAGACACTGGTGTCATGCATTCGATGGAAGATAACTCCTTTTCTGTATTCCATGCTGTATTTCTGTCCATATTTTACATTTTTAAAGTTTAGGTTTTAATAAAAATAAGCAGGTTAAGTTCTCTTTTTAGATGCATTGAATCTAATCAAAATCACATTGTCAGACTAGACTGCCGTGTTTGCTTAAATGCAAAGGCTTAAATGTCTGATGGATCTTCCCCTGCATACTGCAGGTACAACTGTGCTGCACTCCGGTTTGGGAAGGTGGACATTGGACGCTATGGAGAGGTTTCAGAGAGGTCAGTCATTTTCTCCGCTCTGCGCCTGTCTTGAATGATACAGTAGTAGTTTTAATGTCACAGTATTTTTTGTTCATGCTTTCCACAAATTCCTTATTTTGACAGATTCTCTGAGCACATGCATTGACTGTCCCATGAAATCTTTCTGAACAGGTACAAGGTTAGTACTTCCCCTCTGGCTAAGCAGCTGCCCTCACTGGTGCTTTTCCAAGGAGGGCGGGAAATAATGAGACGTCCAATGGTTGACAGTAAAAGGAGAGCTGTATCTTGGACCTTCAATGAGGTAAGTCTAGTCTGTAACAAACATGTTCAGTATGTACAGAGTAGGTGTTGCTCGCAGCAGCCTCACATTCACACATAAGACGCTAATATGAAGCTTATTTCATCCTTAGGAGAACATAATCCGAGAGTTTAACCTCAACGAGCTCTTCCAAAAATCCAAGAAGCTGAGCAAAGGTTGTGATTTCCATGAAAAGGAACAGAATGGCTCTCAGCCAGAGGAGGGCAGCGATGAGCTACCTCCGGGAACCAACAACCCAGCGCTGCCCACGGAGAGCAAGAAAGACCAGTGAAGGGGACAATTCTGAGGGGCTGCATGACGTCTTTCCTTTTCTTCCAACATTGCTACGCCTCACGTAGAGGAAAATAGGTTCAACCAATACACTAAGTCGTTCCTGTGACTAATAAATACCCCAAAAAGCTGGACCACAGTTCCTGGTCTGACTGGGGATGATGCAGTGTGGTTTGAGTGCAGCCATGTAAAAGAAATGCAATGATTTGGGGATATTTTATTACAGCCATTAAGTTATTTAAGAACAAATGCCTTTTTTTAATGATTGCTTTTTGGGCTGCTTTCAGCACCGTCACGGTGTGTAAACTTTTGCTTCCTGTATTTTGCAACCAGTATGTTTACTTATGTCTCGTATTTCAAAACCAAAGAAACTGAAATAAATAAAAAAAATAAGTGTGCACAGATTCATGATGCATTCGGTTTTTCATCAGTTTGACCTTTTTATTCTGAGAAGACATCTTTTTAAAAATTCTTTATAAGGCCATTTTGGAAATGTCTTTAATGTACTCGTTACAGATATTCGTGAAACTCGTTCCATTCATCATAGCCCACAATGGCGATGTTTTATCTCCCAAAGAAGTATACCTACTATACTCACATAGTAAAATTGTTCAGTGGCCAACATCCTTGGCAGGCTGCTTGTGCCATTAATGATGCTTCTTTTCTTGTTACTACCCACTCATGAACCGGGTGGGCATTTGACAGTATTCTCACAAGTACACACGCCAGTGAAGCATTCGGCACGAAAACAAAAATCCACATGCACACCAAAGACATAGCCTGGGAGGGTTGAAAACTCGTAACATAGTCGCTTGGGTTGAACAATGATACTTGTGTGCTTCAAGCGTGTACTTTCCACAAAAGACACGCTACATTCAGCCAGCTTTGACATTCTACTGCAAACACCGCTGTGGGCCTTGATAGAAAAATAATCAAATAAATAAAACCTCTACTGTAATGCCCCATCGTGAAAGAAAAACTCGCATACACCTCCCTTCCCCTAATTACTCCTTTTTCAACATGGCTGTGTACAAAAAAAAAAAATTGTACTTTGACAGAAGTTTTTTTTAATGAGCAAGTTAATCAAAAACTGTAATATGCCTTACATTTCTTCCCCTCAGTGTAAAAAATAAAAACCCAATAGAAAAAATTTAAATGCAGTTGACTATGAATGGTCTCAAGGCAAAAAAAAGTATCCAATTGCAAACCAGCCTCTCCTTAAAAATCTATTCAGTGGCGTATTGCATTTACAATTTCATGTTGTTGTTTTTTTTCATAAAAGAACAAGAACAAACCGGTAGAGACTGGTTTAAAATTTTGTCCAAAACTACATGGTTATCTTGTCTAGTGAAATAAATAAGCCCTTCCCTCACTGCCCCTATTTGTCTGGCCATCAGTTAAAGGTACAAGGATTCTGCTCGCATCTGGATTGACTGAAAAGAAAAAAAGAAAACACCAAAAAGACATACATTGACCTTAAAGCTACCAACAGATTTTGCATAATGTCTCTAGCATAAACATTACAAGCGTACATTCCACAAAGATGCTTGTGCTGCAGTTGTGATTCAGAATTTCTTTGTGGCTTTCCAAAAAAATAAAAATAAAATAAAAATTAAGCTCAATTATTTGCCACTTCAGCGGTCCACCAAAGGATCATCCTTCTCTTTGGACGATGTCAAATCCAGCAAGAGCTCACGAGAGGCTGATGCAGCCATTAAATATAAACAGGCAACTCATTTGAAATCGCTTTCATGAATAATTACAAACAGTCCATCTGCCACCGTTATCAATAGTCATCTTCAATACCTGACAATTTGATTCAATAATAATCTGCAAGATTTTATACATTGGTATAAAACAATATTTAAAAAAAAGATTTATAAAACTAAAATGACACCGTGTTTACAGGTTGGACTCTTCTCTCCATGACTCTCATTGATAAACAAGTTGTGTGGTCCATGCAGACAGAGGAGAAAACGTTTCTATTGGTCAACAGTCCTAAATCCTCCCTCTGAAAATTCTACATCCACTGGATAAAGGCCATCCTTTCCTTAAGTGTTGGACACTGTGGTCAATACTCTGTGTGCTAATGTACCAAAGTAAAACAGCAAATCATTAAATTGCTATGCATGATCTATAGACATATCTGTACCCAGCGGTGATCATACAGTTACATCAGTCTATGGCTCACAAAGAGGCTAAATGGAGACAAACTGTTCCTGTGAAAAATTAACCAGTGTCTCCTTTTAACTCTTTGTTGAAATCTGAAAGGCTAGCAGAGAAGAATGGCCAGTGGCTTTACAAAGATAACAAAGTGAGTACCAGATAGGCCGGCTCCTTTAGTCCGTTGCTGCGGAGAACAGTCATGTTTCAGGGGCCTGCGGTCATGAATAATATCCAGCTCAGGTAAGAGACAAGTGGAAGTAGTCCAGTGACTTTTTCCCCACTCCTCGTGATAGACCATGAAGGCTGTCCATCACTCAAACTGATATCTCGTAAGTGGTCCCTCCGACGCCAGTCACCTTCTTCACCCCGCCGGCTGGTTTGGATGTGGTGTGATTGGCCAACACTGGGCGAGAGGTTGATCTGATTGGACAGGCCGGGGGAGGGGTGGTGGGGGGTGCAGATTAGGGATGAGGACAGGGGATAAATGGATGTGGAGGTGAGTAGTTCTACTTCAAATACAACAACAAACAAGCGCAAACAGCGATGTTTCTCTATCATTGATCTTGTAAGGCATTTGGTAACTATACTAAGTGAGAAAAAGACAAGGACAGAAAAGGCTACAGGACAGAAGTAAAGAGCAGCATGGTAAAGCATGCTTTCACAGAGCTAAACACATACTAGCATGCTGTTAACACTAATGCACACATTCCACCAACTGAGCCAATACAACTTCCATACACACGTCCAACTGGAAAACACTAAACAAGCAAAAGACTGACTGTAAACTGTGAAGGAGGAAAAGGAAGACTCACACAGATCAGGGAGGAAGAGCAGGGCTGACACAAACCAGGGAGGAAGAAGAAGAGGATTAGAAGAAAAAGGAGGAGGAGTAGCAGGCTGAGAGATCTGGCGACGGATCACTACTCACTGTGGAGCCTGTTGCCCTCCTCCAGCTGCTCCCCCTCCCAGCACAGTGCCACCTCCTGTGGGCCGAGTCTTGTGCTGAGGCCTTGCCTCCCCAATGTATGACTGGGACTTGCCGAGGGAGAGGCCGCGAGGTGGCGGGGAGACAGGGGGCTCTAGTGAGCGAGCCCCAGGGGAAGAGGATGAGGAGGAAGGGTTACGAGAGGCTCGGGAAGAGGAGTCCTGGTTATGCTGGAGCAGGTGCTGGATCTCAGGAAGCCCAGAGGAGGCGGGAGGGGGCGGGCTGACGGCACGCAGGTAAGCCCTGTGGGGGGAGGAGAAAGTGACAGAGCCCTGGAGCAGCTGCCCCTCCCTCTGCTGGGCAAACTGAGCTGAGAGGAAGGGCGACGTGTAGCCCTGCAGCCGGGTACTGGGTGACACCACCTCAGGCTGGCCTGTTATAGTCGCTGAGGGAAACGGAGCATGAGGCTTCTGTGGCGACAGCTCGTGGGCCGCTGACTCGAACTCTGGGCTCTCGGATGGCGTCAGCAGGCTGTCATAGGACAGGCTGCCATTCCGAGGCGTCTGATTTGCCAGGCTTTTGTAGCTGGTGTCTGTGGTCCCTTCTGAGTGGAGCGTCGCCAGCGGATTATGTGCCGTCTGCGCTGAGCGCAGGCTGGAGGAGCGGGAGCCACCAGTAGACAGGACCAGAGAGGATGGGTAGGAGGTGTAGGAACGCCCAGTCAGGGAGTAACCTGACATGCCCCCTGATATCCCCCCAGCAGTCCCGCCAGGGCCTCCGGGGCCCTCACCCCTCTCCCCTCCCCCTCTGCGCGCCCCTACACCTCCCCCCACCACAGTGGCCCCATCCAGGCTGCTCGGCTCCGAACGGTAGCTAGGCTGGTGGCTGGACTGGAGGATGGAGGGAGATGGAGAGTCAAGACTCTCCCCGCGGATCATCTGATGAAAAGCGAGAGAAAGAGAACACACCAAAGGTAGAGAGGGGGACAGGGAAAGAAAAAGTGTGATGAATATGAAAATCACCATATTACCTCAGGAATAAATAACATAGCACAAAACAAGTTTTCTACAGATTTTAACAGGGAAAAAAAGAGTGGTGGGGAGAAATTGGATGCTTGACCGGTGCTCTAATCCATCATCACACTACTGGATTGGAAACATTGACTGGCTTGAACAAGCACTGACACTGCATGTCAAAGACTGTGTGTGTTAACATAAATGGAAATAAAAATACATACAGTACATGAACACCACATTCCAGTCAATGCAGTCTCAGGGGAAAAGGATAGATCCACTCAAACACACATAAACAGCCAAAGGGATAGACACACACACAGATGACACTAGCTGAGACTTACTGATCGACCGAGGGCCACTGAATGATCAATTTAAAGTAAAAACAAAAAAAAAGAGGGGCATGGTATTAACCACAAAGGAAATTAGAAGGGGCGGGGCATATCAGCCACCAGACCATCTGTGACTGAAATATATGGGATATTGTTTATTCTGTTCTCTTTACTTCTTTGTGTGCAATAAGGTAAACCACATTCCTGTGTGTTTTACAAATGCTAAAACAAGCTTGCTATGTAATAATCAGCAAGGCTGTGGGTATTTAAAAGAATAGATTTAGATTTACATCTGTCTTACATGTAAATCATGCGGTTAACTTCCTTTAATACTATGAATATACAGTACCTACATCATGTTATGTAAATAGTTATACCCAGTACCTTGAGGTCTGTGTAAGTGTAAATGGACATGTACCTTGTTGGGGTGTGTGAGGGCTGTGTGGTTCCTTCCTGGGCTGCTGTAGGCTGGTCGGTACTTGTACATTGACGGTGTAGTTGGAGCTTCAGTCAACAAGCTGCTCTCTGATTGGCAAGAAACCAAAAGTGAAATTTGAAAGAGGCGTGTGTGTGATTAGAAGACAAACATTCAGCTATTTACATAAGAGGTAATACACTTCAAGAACCTGGGTTGCACTTGATAGTCAACACAGAGATGGTTATATGTCAGGTGATATACCTGCAACTAGTTTCACTTATGTGTTTTTGTGTGTGTCCCTGTCTCACCCTCTGTGTCAGCACGGGGCAGGCCAGGGTAACGAAGTTCTGGCTTTGGAGGAGGTGGAGGCTCTGCATCAGCTGACTGGCTCTCCATCTGATCTAGACTGCTCTTGGACTGGAAAAGACACACAGACATATAGTTTTAGTTCGTGTTCAGACTTAACAATTGAAAACAAACCCTGCCTGACACAGCAGGCTACAGTGAGAAAAAAAAGTGCAGCAACACAATGCAATACAAAATAAGTTGGCCAATCAAATGACTGCAACGCACATTGCAGGTAGATTACTTTTTAACTTGAGCAGTATTGTTTACCTTATAATTTATTGAACGGAGGATAGAACAGTTGTTGCTATAATAACTTCTTGATGTATGAAGTCCTGTTTCATACACCAGTGTTCCCGGTTTTGACATCTGATCTGATCATCTGAACTTTTAAACTCACTGATGTTGAAGTCTGAACGCCCACTTACAACCTGATCAGTGAGTAGCTTTTGCAGTGAGAAGCGTCTTTTTCTAGTTGTTTTCTGTAAGCAGTAAGAGTTTTGCACGGTGCTAATGCTCCCTGAGTGTCTCATGTTTTAGACACTCGGAGCGCCTCATCTTTTTGCAGGAGAGCTCTCAACGACTCATATCAGAGTCAGCGCAGAAAAGCGCCAAATGTCATTTGGCCCCCCCCCCAAGGCAGTGTGATGCACTTCTGTCTGATCGGGGCCTAAAGCAACTGTTAACACGTGGTAGGCTTTTCTGGTATTGTATTATACTCTTATTTAGTGCGTGGGTGGTGCTTCAGAAAGAAAAAATAATAATAATCATCAACATCAACCACATTAACACAAAAATTTCACACCAAATGCAGCCAATTTTGTTTTCACATATTGGGAAGGATGGGAAGACATGTTTATCATCTGTCCAGAGTCCTACATGGTCCCAGTTTTACAAACCTGCCGCACACATGCAAAGGACAGCATTGGAACCAATCCATTAGGTACAATTATCTCTAAATCAATTCCTGCTCCAACCTGGCCTTAAGTATTAATATGAGATTCACAACCCTCCATTTTTCAGTGTCTCATTTCAACTTCTGTTTCCTCCTTCTCAGACCTTTTCAAAACTGTGTAATATTACACCAAGCTAGCACAGCAGGGATACCTTCATTTATTATTTTAATTTTCCGATACAACAGCAGGATTTAACTGTGAACTGACTTTGTGGGCTTCTCTGACACTGGTGAGTTGTTTTGAAAAATTTAAATTTTATACATTATCATCATTTGTAGAATAGCAGCATGCTAGCAAATCTCCAAAGCCCAGGTTTTAACTTTTTTCGGTCAGGACAGCTGGATAAATAAGGATAAAGAGATGAGTTTTTTTCAAATATGGAGAGCTGTTGGAATTGTTATTTCATCGATTTTAACTATAGTTTGCCGGTATCCATGCTAGCTGCTGCTGCATGGATATACGCTGCATCAGCTGCCTGTTCACCTTTCTGTGTTGCTTTTTACCTTGCAGTATTTCAACATGAATAGAAAAGCAAAGAATCACGCTCAAAAACGATCTGGCAATATATTAATGTGAAATAAATCTTACAAAATAGATAAATAGAAAATAATAAGCTTAATTTGGAGACCACCAAAATTTTATTTGGACATTTTAGGAAGGGTTCTAGGTATTAATTAGAGTGTCCAGGATCACCAGTATTTCACACACACACTGCTCTTATTGTTCTTTATTGTTAACCAGAGGAGCCGTGAAACCAATTCAAAACAAAGAAATTCTTCCAAACAACAATTTTCTGCAACAATGTATACAGTCAAACATACAGAATATCCTAAAAAAGTTTATTAACATGAGGACACATAAGAATGTCTGTGGAGTACCTACATCCAAACTTCCACATGTAGACTGCTTGTTATTTGTTGATGTTTGTTGGATTCAGTATCACTCACCCTGGTGCTGTGTCGGTCATTCTGGATCCCATTGTCCAGGACTTTGGCTTCTAGCTGGGCCTCAGTGAGAGGCGGTCTCAGAAATGGTGGCTGTACTTCCACTGCCTGAGGGCTCCGCCACCGGCCCATGTATCTGTCAGAGGAACATATAGTACATTTCCATCCTGATTAAAATGATACAAGCTTTAAACAACAGGCTTGGCAATATGTTTGTCTCTACAGACCAACACAATCGAACACCAAAAAACACTCTCACTGAAAGCTTGTGCTCACATAGTATACTCCATTAACTATACAGACTAGTGAGAATAATAAAACAGGAGGGTGGAAAAGTGGAAGGGGAGAGAGAGCAATGGAAGGAAAAGTGGGAAAAGAATAATTGTAGAGCAGAGTGCTAAAAGGAGGGCAGAAAACAGATGGGTGCTGAGGAAAGAGGTAGGCTGACCTGGGGGCCTGCGAACTGCAAAGCACATGTGAAATATTCCTCAAGCAGCCATTGGTGAAAGGGTTAACGCCTCCCCGAAACTTCCCTGTCACCTACAGTGAGAGGGAGGAAGAGAGAAAAGCATTCCGGCTCACCAACTTTAATAAAAATAAAACCAAAGAAAAATCTCTTGATTCAATGAATTCAATGTGATGACCAGCTCTTGTATGTACCTGTTCATTTGTGGTCCTGCCGCGTGCCACTAACACTATGTGGAACCCAGTGAGGCCAGCGACAGGGACAAAAAACAGACCAGCCACACACATTACAGCCATACTGGGAGGAGAGAGTCAAGAAGATCACAACAAATCCAGCAAAAAAAGGAAATAAAAACAAACACTAGGCTAAAAATCACAGCACAAAAAAAAGGGATAACAAAGTCCTGTAATTTGTCCCTCATCTTTAAAAACTGCAATGAGACAAGTGAAGGATACGTAACAGCAGCATGTGGTGTGTCCAGCTGCTGGCGGTGGTGCAGCACATAAACCAAGCCAAAGCCAAATACGTTCATGATGTGGGTGGTGAGTGACAGCAGGAAGAGGAAGAAATGGCGATAATTCCTCCGACCAATGCAGTTGTTCACCCAAGGACAGTGGTGGTCGAAATCCTGAGAGAGCATGGGGTCAAAAGGACAGGAAGGTGGAAAATAATGACAATAAGCACCAACTACAGCACATCAAAATCAGATGCCCAGTCGATTTCAACCTCCCAATCTTACACTTGGAAAACTAAGAATAGGACAGATCTAGGTTGAGCTACCAAGTCACACAGGAGGTAAAAGGCTCACTGTAAAATTAGGACTTGCTATTAAAACTAAACACACACACACACACACACACACTTAATGAAAATTCATCTAAGTAGCATTTTCAGACTTAATGCTGTTCAGACTTGGTTACACAAAGCCAAGGATGTGCTGTAAAAGTTCCACAAACATTCAATCAATAAATGAAAAAGCCTGTATAATCACACACTGTCACCCTGTTACACCCAATTCCCCTGTATAACTTTCATTCATATTTGTATTATGGTGTGAAATAAATAATTAAAATGTATCTATTTTGGAGTCACAATACAACAAGCCCATGATAGTGTTTGTGTGTGTACCTCCACACAGTTGTCACAGACTGAGCAGTGAGAGCAGCGCGGCGGGCGGTAGAAGCGGCAGGTTGAGCACCACTTCATGCGCACCTGGATGCCTTTGATCTCCACTGTCTTATAAGCGGAGCTCGGAAATCGTCCTCTTTATCCTCATCCTCCTCCGCTAAAGACAACAAACACATAAACTGAGGCTGTACCAACATCGTGATACCTCGGCATCATGCCGTACTATAATTATTACTAGTTGGTTATGGTCATTGTGTCATGTACTCAAAAGCATTACATATGCGTCATTAGTACACGATAACTAACTTTCTAGGGCAAAGACTTGCATACCAACACGGTTCACGCGTGTTTACCTCTGGGGAAGACTCCGGGGTCCATGAAAGTTGCCATGCAGAAGTTGGCAAGGGTGAAGAGGAAGATCACAGCAACGTAGATGGGAATGACAAAGGAAAAATACTCTGACAACCACGGACACCTGGACATTACAAAGAAAGGACAGAAACAAAATTACAGTTTGACATTATTGCCATAACTACCTGTCTTTCAAAGTCTGACATATTATCTTGGTCTAATCAAGACGGAAACAGCAGCAGATATTATACAAGCAGACTGGAATCCCTGCACTTGCTGGCAAGAAAGAGATGTGAAAAAATGAGCAAGTAACACTCCACGCACAACCAACACCGCTGATAAGCCTTTGTGGAAGGCAATTTACTCCCAAACAGCTCCAGTGAAGCTGTTCAGAGGCCAGAAATAGAAGACAGTGATTGAAAATGGGGAGCTCCCGTGTGGGACTGTGAGACTGTGTGAATGCATGTGTTGCTAAAAAAAAGGGGCAAGTTTTTTAAGTTAAATAAACAACAAAATTAACAGGACGTCTTGAGATAAAACATAATGCATGGGGACATTTACATATGCGGTTAGTAAACACAAATATGTATAAACATAATGGACCCTTTGCACCACGTTTGCAATATGTACGAGAATGAGATACTTACGTGAAGCAGAAGAAGAGCGTGGTGGATCCGACAAGAAAGGTGGTGGCTGCAGACACCGGGACATATCGGCTGGGTCGAAACGGACGGGGAGGAGCAGTAGCAGGGACACCTACTCCTCCCCCAACCCCCCCACTACTGAAGCCCGGCATCAGAAAAAAAAGACAGGGGAGGAAGACAGAGAGAGGTAGATATCTACTGTCTACCCACTGTAAAGGATGCTTTACTGGTCAAAATGGCAAATATGGTGTTTGCTTGGGAGGAGAGGCCATAACTACAGACTGGAAAATAAAACAAACTCTATGCAAACATGAGGAATTCTCTGTGTCCAGACACTAAATGTCTCTCAGCACTAATACAATCACTGAAAAAAAGAGGGGTTATTTTTATTTAACAATATACAACTCTACTTGCATGTGTTCACCTTGTTGTAAATATTTAATTTGAGTGCATAATCTTAATAGAGGTTTATAAAAGCACAACTACACAAGAGCAATGTGGTACAAAAATATGCGTAGGTAATTCATAAATATTTTTGTATGGCTTTAATGTAACTGTATTTGGTGCGACAATATAAATAAATCTAATCTTAAGCTGCTCCCTGGCACCAGTGCAACCGTAATGCTGCTGTGTATGTACACAAAAGCACAGACACTCTCACACGGACTTAAAGTGGAGCAATCTAGGTCTCTCTCCACTCCTGAAACTCAGTGTTTACATTAATGCTAGTCACTGTGATTGAATTCTGATTATGCCTCTCAGAGAAAATTAATATAAAAAGAAAATAAGACCAGGAAAAAAATTAAAGAGGTAGTGGGTGGATAGCCAGCAGGCCGAGAGCAGAAGCGCATAGGAGAACAGGCAGAGGATTGAGCGCGGCAGCTGCTGATGACTTCTGTGATTGTTCCACAAGGGCTTATTTAGGCACTGGGTGGGTGGAAGAAACTGAGGATGGCGGCAGGAGGGACAGTTCCAGCGTTTCAAACTAAGTCAGCAGGGGAAAACAACTAAACAAACAAATTCACTTTTAAACCAGTTGCAAGAAGCTGCTTAACATCAAACAAAAGTCCAGCTGGATTAAATTTTTTCTTGCTTAAAAAGTTTTTAAAAAAATGATGTCTAGCCTTGCCTTTACAAGTAAAATAGCTCAAATAGCCAAGCAGAGTCCCCTGGATCTTTGGAGATCCCCGCCTTCAGTCTTTGTGTGAATACGGGGACAAAATCAACTCATTCCAAAAAGAAGCCCTGTGTATGTCACCGAGGTGTCACCACACTTGGCCGTGTCGGGGTGTAGAGACCTCTCCCACCTCCAAATTCTGTGCAAATGGACCTCTTTTCCCATTTTGCATCTTTTAAATAAAGCCATGCGCAGCAGTAGAGTTACATAGTCTGATGCATTTTAGTCCTTTTTTCCTCTTTCACCTGCTGGCACTGTGGGTAAGTTGTTGGGCACCCTTTAAAAAAAAAAAAAAGAAGAAGAAGAAAGTATTACACTATCAGTGGACAAAACCTAAGAAGACAAAAACAAATATTGCAAATAATTAGATCATAATCAATTAGATTATTGACTATTTTGATAATCAATACATTCCCTAGCTACCCATCCCGTAGTTCAGGTTTTCAACTGTTGGTTGAATAGCAAAGCCAATTTGAACATTTACATTTACTCATTTAGCTGACACTTTTATCCAAAGCGACTTACAATTGCTATATGTGAGAGGACACACTGGAGCAATTAGGGGTTAAGTGTCTTGCTCAGGAGAGGTGGATGCGTCGAAGTGGGAATCGAACCCTTGTCTCCCACACCAAAGGCATGGGTTATCCACTGCACCACTATGTTCACGATTCATTGAAAAAATGTGTGGCAGATTCAATCATTACATAAATAGCTGGGGCCATGTTTCATTTTGCACGTTTAAACTTCATTTTCTAAAGTTGATTTCCTTGTTAGGTTAAAAAAACAGCCTTATGTGAGAGAGAGCAGAGGTTTCACAACAGTCAGGCTGACTAAGCAGCTTCTTACTATCTACTGTGCGAGTACGTATTTCTCACTATTGCTTATCAAACAGAGCTGTTCAACAGACAGCTGTCACCCTCAGTTAGTCGAACTGAACACCTCCCACTACTGGAAAACCATGGAGATAACGATCTGTGTAGAGGGTGCCCGCCTTTGACACATACATCAGGCTAATTACCCTCATCTCCAGGTGAAAAACTACCCCGTGCGGTGTGAACACACTGGAAACCGATCAGGAGTAACAGTGTAATCTGATAGTTTGGACACACCCCTCTTCTCAACAATCACCAATTCTAAACAAAATACAGAACTTGGGCCGAGGCTGAGTGTCTGTTGTTAGTCATCTCATCTGCCCCACAACAAATCTCGCCCCCCCTCCCGACTATAATGGATGTTAATCCTAAAATCTCCGTGTCGAGCCCTGTCTGTCATGTCACCGCAACAATCTGCAGCTCGAGAGCAACATTATTAAGTGGCCGATCAAGCAAATTTTATCAATTTTCCGAGCAATTATGACACACTGATAGTTGCTATCTCATGTCTTAATTACGATTATGCCATTCAATTGACTATTAGTTCAACTTTGATCGATCACACGTTGAAATAGACCAAGCGTTAAACAGGCCATGGCAGTGCTCGGATCCAGTCAACTACAACAGTAAACCTCATTTGGACACGCTGTTTTAAACTAATAATAGACGCTACGATGTTTTAGTTTGATGTAATAAGGGCCGGTGTAGTAAAGCGAGATTTAAACGCGACCCATACTTAGATATCAGTTAGCTCTTACCTAGCCTCAAAGTTTTTTTGCGACACTGCTCAGTCCTTTACCACAGCTAAAAGAGTTAGCCAACGTCACCTGGCTAGTATAGACGCTTTACACTCGCGGAGTAGCTTTCGTTAACGGCTGACAAGATAACTGTAGCTACGTTCAGCTAAACAGCCACCACGACGAACAGGTAAAACAAGCGGGACATGCCTGATATCGAAAATGCGAGCTGTCTTGCCTGTAGGGTGTGGGTCGTAACCGTCCTCCTTGAGTTAGCCGCTAGCAAACTAGTTAGCTCGCTTGCTAGGCCGACTTCGGAATCCCGGAACTATTCCGTCGTCCCTCAGGTGGGATGAACAACCAATCAGAGACCGAGGAGGTGCGGTCTCAGGAAAAACAGCTCAACACCCTGCATGAGCATGTAGCATTGATTATTATTATCAGGAAAAAAGATTGTTGTAACTCTCATACACTTTTACTACCAAATAAAGTTAAAGGACTACATCTTAAAGTAATAAATAAATATTATCCTTGCAAATCGCAACACATTTAAGGCGAGACACCACAAACAGGCTTTTTTCTCAACTTTACTCATATCAAAATTAAACTCTTCAAGAAAAATGTACACATAAATAGAAGCTTTAATTATTTTTTTTATTAGAAAATATATTTTCTTATTAAATGTGCACTGATTTGCATATCAAATCCATTTTCCAGCACACTCTTTTTTTTCATGGATTCATTCAAAAATACTAGTCATATGTGTGACAGACCCCCCGACCTCTTTCTGAATCTACGAGCGTTGAGCTCCAGGCTGTTCTGGCCGCACCAGGACATCAGATGGTCGATCTCCCACCTGTAGGCGGACTCTTCCCCACCAGAGATGAGCCCAATGACAGTGGTGTCTTCCGCAAACTTCAGGAGCTTGACAGACTGGTGACTGGTGGTGCAGCTGTTGGTGTACAGGGAGAAGAGCAGAGGGGAAAGAACGCAGCCTTGAGGGGAACCGGTGCTGATGGTCCTGGAATCAGAGAAATGTTTTCCCATCTTCACGTGCTGCTTCCTGTCCATCAGGAAGTCTGTGATCCACCTGCAGGTGGAGTCTGGCACGTTCAGCTAGGAGAGCTTGTTCTGCAGCAGGGCTGGGATTGATGGTGTTTGAAATCCACAAACAGGATCCTGCTGTAGGTTCCTGGGGAGTCCAGGTGCTGGAGGATGTAGTGAAGGGCCATGTTAACTGCATCATCTACAGACCTGTTGGTTCTGTAGGCAAACTGCAGGGGGTCCAGGGGTTTGTGGTAGATTTAAGGTGGGACAACACAAGGCGCTAAAAGACCTCATAACCACCGAGGTCAGGGCGACGGGTCTGTAGTCGTTGAGTCCCATGGTCCTTGGTTTCTTGGGGACAGGGATGATGGTGGAGGCTTTGAAGCAGGCTGGCACATGGCATGACTCCAGTGAGGTGTTTAACACCGGAGACAGCTGATCTGCACAGTAAAGGTTGAATAGGGAGACAGAGTCCGGCCCTGTCGTTGTGTACAGGAAACATGTCATTTTGAGAACATGGCAGTTAAGAATTAACATAGAAACACACTTAGTTTACATTAACACATCTCTTATAGATATAGGATATATGAACTAACCAACACTGTGTTCTAGAAAACAAACTTTCAAATTAAATATGATTCAATATGTACAATTTTAAAAAGACCGGTTGAACTTTTACATGGAAAATGCTAAAAAAGATTAAAATTTACACAATCTGCGGTTGATGGATTTGGTATAAAATAGACAAATTATAATGTTTATATGTATATTATTCAAGATTGTTTTGTGCATTTTATGAAAGTATGGTAAAAATAGTTGCAAAGTAACTTGAAATCTCAAAATTGACAGATTGAAGCAAAATCATCATTTTGGACAGTGGTGTCTTACCTTAAAGATAACATTTCATCAACTTGCACATTTTGCAACATTGAGGAAGGGCATGTCCACTTATTTCATAAATGTCCCTACTAACCTCTGGAGAGAAGTCTCTCTACTCAAGGAACTAAAACAACCAGGTGTCTTGGTTTTAGGTTGTAATACTGGAAACTCTTTAACAGATGATTCCGTTAAAAAATATGTTCCTTCTTGGAAAGTTCCACAAAAAGTCAACAATAATTAGTCTGGAGTCTTTGCTTTTTTTCTTGTGAAATCCTGCATAATTTTACATGTAATCATTTGGCAGATGCTTTTGTCCAAAGCTAATGAGATCATCCAAGCCACAGTAGATTCATGACACAAGTTTTCTGGTAGATTAAACCATCTGACAGTATTAGCAAAAAAACTCAGACATACTCAACTTATGACAATGGATTAAAAGCAGACGCTGCTTCATTTGAAGGGGTCATAAGTCAAAAGGGTTGGGAACTGCTGGTGTAAAAGTATGGCCGTCTCTAGGGTTTACTGATGTGATTCCCCCACCACAACCCAACCCCCCCAAAGACATTTTTGACAGGTAACCAAAAAAAAAACATTTTGGGAACTGGAATGCCATCACAATTTCATCTTTTTTTTTTTTTATTTGCTGAGTCAAAAATGTGTGATTTGTGTGCAACTGCAGAATATATATTTGAAAGCTTGTCAGTTCATATGTTCTTAAATACAAAGATCTGTAAAAAGGAGTATCAATCAGTAACAATGTTGATAGCTAATTAACCAAACTTCTTGTGCAAGTAGCTCCTCCATATATATTTTTGGTTAAAAAAAAAACATCCTTGATCGGAAAGCTCGATTACCCATAAATACAGAAAACATAACAATGTGGGCATACACATATGAAGGAGTTATTACATTTAATTATTCAGACTAAAAGTTGACATGAAATAAAATTCTTCTTTTCTACTTTCTTTCAGGAGACCTGCACAGAAACACTTTAAAATATCCAGATACTGAAATGGACAGACTGCATTAGCATGTAATACTACTGTTATTAATGTAACATTATTTATCATTTCTTACAAAAAAACTGAAAAACAATACTAACGTGCTGTGGCATTAGGAAGGACTTTTCTTTGTGAAGTTTTCACCCCAGATCCCAGATGGTCAACTCAAATTCTCCACAACAGTCCCACCTACAACAAAACCACATCCTGCTGATTAAAGCCAGTGTTTAGAGCAATAGTGTAGAAAATAAAGGGTAAAGAAAACACACTAAATATACAAACCAGGACATAAATTCATTATGCAATATTTGTCTGGGGATCACACAGTATACACTTTTTGAATTTGACATATTTTTACTGTATGTTAATAAGTTGTGTCCAACTTAAATTGTTGTTCACATTGCTCTCGTAACATTTAGAGACGTTATCTACATCTTGAGTGTGTCTGTGAGTGCCTGTCAAATTCTGGATGAACTCTGTATGAGCTGGCAGGTGTTTACAGGATAAACAGCAGATGAGCTGTCATTGTTGTGCTCCTAAACAGTTACTGCCATACTGGTCAGTTAGGATATGGCCTACAGTTTAGTGCCCCACTTATGTCCAAACACACATGGTGGACACTACAGGATGAATACTTTACAGACACATTCATAATGAGTTTGCAATGGTGGATGAGGCTTGGTAAAAATATTTTTTGGGTTTCTTCAGTGGTGAAAGCTCAGGAATTTTAAGAGTTTTTTAAGGTTTGAACAAGTTGTAATTAAGTACAGACACACCCATTTTAATAACCAGCCCATTACGTATTGGGCATATGCAAATAAATGTGAACTAATATGCAGGATAGGAAAATATTCTGACCAGGCAAATTAATATTATTAAACACAAAACACAGAATGTTTTACATTAAACATTTATTACTCAAGAGAAAAAACAATGTTTATGAAATAGATTATCAAGAAAATAATTCCTGCACTGATAAAACATCCTTTGCCAAAACATTGCCTAAAGATATGTACATGTGGTCTATAAAATGGGGTATCATTTACAGTAGCCACCAACTTTAGAACTTAAATTGTTTTCTCTTTTGCCCTGTGTAGTCTTTGTGAAGCAAGTCGACTAGGAAACACAATCTAGCTCCTCTGGGACAAAATCCCCCTCAACAGAACTCTGTCCCTAATATGATCCCCACTTCTTTCACAACTGAGTCCTATTCCCTGAAGAGTTACTTCATTTCATGTCCATGAAGCGGATGTCCATGATAAGCAGAGTGTGTCTGGGCAGTGGTCTGGGTGCTGGGGACAGCACTTTCATCACCTGTGTTTGCGTGTCCACATAAGTCACCACGATAAAGCCACACACAGGGCTCTCCACTATACCCTTTCTTGCTCCTTCCTCACCATCTTCAGCACTGCTCACACTCAGCACATGATATGTGAGGTCTCTCCCTGGTGTCACAGGCACCAGCTTTAGCTGGGTGTCATCCTGAGACATTCCCAGTGGCAAGCACGAGTCTGGGATGGATGGTGCCCCAATTTTGTAGATGCGGACATCTGAGAAACGCACTTCAAAGGAAAAAGGGTAGAACGATACTCCACGGAAGCCATAAAAGTACTCACGGATCTTCTCATCCGTGTATCCCGCCGGCACTCTTTGGAACGCTCCACTACCCCCCCAGACTTGGGTAGGAGCACAACCCGCACAAAGTGAGGAAGGTCTCGTTTGAGTTCATTGTAGAGCCTCTCATGGTCCAGCACCAGCACAACATCCACCTCAAAGGCAGAGGCACAGTGGACCAGAGCCTGGTATCCAGAGCCCTTCACCCAGCCGCAGGTGTTGATGATACAGCCTCCCACACTGGCCTTCCTGTTCACCTCACAGCGCTGGGAAAACACCTCGGCCAGGCGTGACGTCAACTACACGTTATGAGAAAAGAACAGATTTATGTGGGCAGATACAAACAATGACAACGCAGACTAAATTTGTACTTTGGCAGTGGGCTTATACCATTATGTTATAAAATGTCCAAAATCTTGCTTTTCTTACCTTATTGTAAAGTTTGATGTTGGTCCCTGGGGTAGTAGAGCCAAAGTGGTAGACCAAAGGAGCCTGGACTGAAAAACCCTCCTCCACGTCTGCCGGGCGCTCAATGCACAGTGCCGACACAGTCCCAGGTACAGACACCTGAAGAGCAGAATGTACTTTAGACTTAGTATTGATAGGATTTGAGATTTCACTAGTGAACTCGGGTAGTTCAAAAAAACAACAACTGTGAGAGCGTTGGTTGATTATGAAGGGAGCACTCGTAATTTCCATGATTGAATGGATGAACAAATTGCCATTTGTCATTAAAACAGTGCACTAAAAAACTCCAAATATTTGTTTTCCAGAAATTACTGTACATGTAAATTAACATAACCAGCTACATGGGCATGCTTTACTCCTAAATCTGAAACATCTGTTTTGACCAAGAGGCGAGGCATCATAACTGATCTATTATGTAGATGCTGTAGTTTCGCTTTGCATGAATTCCAGATGTGTGACATGAGGCAAAAAATAAAATCTACCTGTGATAATCCTCTAATTTCAGACCTCTGGGTGAATGTTTATTATGATAACTCCAATTCATCTTACCCCACTCTGTCCAACATCCAGTTCCACCAGTGTTGGCCTCCGGCCCACCCTTACAGCATAGCTTAATAGCAGCCGGCACACTGTTGACTTCCCCACATCTGTAGGTCCAACCACCATCACCTGAGGGATGATTCATTATTCATTGTCAATGCAAAACACATTTACTGGGATCTGACAAGTTTGCCTATAAGGCCCCCTGAAAACAGTAGTTCTTTATTCAAACCTACCCTCGGCCCCCTCTCATTGTCCCGCTCTGCTTGTTTTCTCATCTGTTCCAGGGCAGCGTGTGTGTTCAGGTAGAGCAACATAGGAGTATCCTTGGACACATAGGCCACCTGTGGTAGAGAGATGCTGGTTATTTGAGCCTCACAAAGCCACACATGTAAATGTGACACCAAACCCCATTAATGAGCTGAATCACAAGTATGCTGAAATAAACACACGCATGAAAACATTCACACATGTGCATAGACCCTCTTCCAGGTGCTCACCTCTGGCTTTCCATAAAGATTCACACTGCAGCCTTGCCAGGTGAAAACTGCAATTTTGGAGCCTGGTCCAAATGTGTACTTCTTGTTGCGGTTCAGCTCAGAACCAAACACCTCAGCCATTCCTGTAAGGAGCTCCAGCTCAACTTGCTCTGCTGCCTCCCCTGCCTCCACCTCAAACCGAAGCTCAGTCTCCTTCTCCAGGTCAAACCTGGTGCTCACCTTCCCAGGTACTGGAGCATCTTCACTTGTCTTTTCCACACCCTCAGTAGCCATGTCTGACAAGAAAAGGTCTGTCATAAATACCTAGCATATTGAAAAGAAAAAGTTTCATGCAAATACATTACTTCAACACAATACAATTTGTCACAACGTCTCTAACAGCTGCCATACTTTGAGGGCAGGTTATTTTCATTTTGTATTAATACATGTCTTTATGAGTAATCACTGACTCTGTAAAATGTTGAGAATATCAACAAATGTTTATCAAAAGCTGAGCCACAATGCTTATAGAATATCAAAATGGCAAGCATAGTGTAGTTAATGCAGTCACATAAATAAACAATTAATTTACTACATTCACTTAAGAAAGATAAAATAGTACCTGAGAGGATTAAGAGAGTGTAGCCCCAGTTTGTAATGTAAATTTGTGCACATTCCATGTTATTATTTTTTTGTATTAGTATTATTTTGTCATGTGTACCAATGTAAGCACCTATACATAAAAAGGGAAAATTCCTCGTATGTGAAAATTTACCTGGCAATAAACCTCATTCTGATTTATGTCTCTCGCTAATAATGTTACATCTGAGGTACAATCTGGGGCTATAAAGAGAGATTGTTAACATTTTTAACCGATCAGATTACTTATTTTTTCAAGGTGGCGTTTGAATGTTTTATTAAAAAATTTATGATTTTACTTAAAAGATACCCACAAAGCCCACCAAAAACAACCCAAGTATTGAATGAAAGTAGTATGCCATCGGTACCTCAAGTCCGCAGTAAGTTAGTTGAATACTAAACTTTCTATCTTACTGAGGGTTCTCACGTTTAGCTGAAAACGCTGCTCGTTTGTACGCCATAGCCAAGCCTTGAGCTGCCTATTCTAAGACATTGTACTCTGGATGTACAATCCAGAGTCAAATTACTCGTGTGTACACATACCTGGAAAATAAAGCTGATTCTGAGTCTGACATTTAACATGTTTACTAATGGATGAGCACACTCAATTTTGCCATCGGCTATTTGCAGGCTAACCAGCTAGCAGTTAGCACGCCGTAGCTAACTCAGCCTAATTTCAGCAGTAAACGCGGAATGAAAGCCTACAAACATCCTGAATGTCAATAATCTACTCACTCCCATTGAGTCAGGTGAACGTATACGAGTTGGTTATTTTTAATTAATTGTACTTACGGGATAATTTCAAGCCTTATTGTAGAATTAAGTTATGCTCTCAACTCAACAGGAATCGCTGCTGGGGCTGGTCGCGTGGTGATGACGTCACGACCGTAGCAGCCAATCATTTCTTCCACTTGCTTCAGATGGTGTATACCATAGACTGTATGGTGGAAGCCCTAACCCTATACGGTCTATGGTGAAAACAATATTTCAAGGTTAGGAAATACATTTTAAGTCAGGAAAGACCTTTTTTTAATACGATCAGTTACTACAAATACTTATTACAGCTTGAGTCGTTAAATGTCATTGAACAAATCAAATGTGGATAAACTATGTTTTATATAGTTGAGATATGTAGTAACTTAAATGTATTGAGTTTTCAGAATACATTCATGTTTTTTTCAACCCAATCCAGTACAGCAAACAATCTCTTAAGGAGGTTGTTGATCAAAATAATTCCTGAAACTACGGAAATACCTTCCCACATACGAATAATGACTGCTTAGCTAGAGTAAAAACAACACAAACCTACATTCATATAATAAGTGACTCACTTTATTTACCAAAAACAGACATAAAAGCACAATAAACCATTGAGAACACAGCAGGACTGTGCATCTGAGAAATGTACTGGTTCGGAGACGCTCCACTAGGTGTCACCATGTATCCAGAAGATGTGAGCTGTTGGAGCTTGGCTCATCGGAGGAGGGACTGAGAACATCCCATTGATCACTCCTCGTCATTCTGCTTCCGAGGACCACATCTCCTGAACTCTTGGCTGCATGTAAGACAAAATAATATTCTGTTAAACTCTAAAATATAAATATTTCTACCACACCACAGGTACGAGCCCTCCTCACCCCATCTACCGATGAGGCTGTCAGTCTCAACCAATAGCAGTACAGACACTTCTTCATGTACTGGGGTAAAGTAGTTCTGCCTAATCTGAATAAATTGAGTTACACATGGTTTATTAAAACCTGATTCCACACATGCAGAAATTAGCATGTAAGCAAACTGTGGGATTATTTCATTTTCAGACCTGCTAATTTCATGTTATACAGGGGTCTACACTTAGCCTGCTACTGAAAGGAATCTGTTAGCTATGGTCTAATGGCTGAAAGTTGATGCTGTGTCAAAGTCTCTACCAACAAGCAATTAATTTCTCCCCTAGGCGGGTGACTCATAAAATGCTAAGACATGAAAGGAAATCCAAGTTTAGGCTATGACACTTAGCTCTGGGGGGAAAATATATACAGAATATGCAGACAGGGGACAAATTAAAAGGAAAACCCTGGATCAGTGAGAAACATCAAATGCAGACGCTTCTCAGCACCAGACGTCACCGAATGGTGTGACGAGTATGAAAATGACGTAAATAAGATGCTACAGTCTTTGCAGTCGCCACATCTCAACTCAGGTACACACCTATGGAAGATTTTGGTTCAACATGTCACAATAATGCTCTCCACAACCATCCCCAGAAGACCAAATGATATAATATAAACTTTCATCTTCAAATCTAATTAGCCATGTCTGTGACTGTCCTTTCGTTATGTCTGTTTGTTTTTCTTTCTATCTGCTGTACTCAGGTTTCTCTTGATCTCACTGAGATTACCAGATTAAATAAAGGTTTAATCTATAAATGAGGAATGGTGTTCATCGCTCCAATAGAGAACCACAGAATTGGAAAGGAGCATTGAAGCTAATGGTTTTCCTTTTAATTTGTCAGTATATCCAGACAAATATTAACCAGCATCAACTGCTTGCAAAGTATCTTAAGAGATTCTGGTAAAAACAACTAATGTGCAAATACATGTGTATTAGTCTAGGTTTTATGATAAAAGGGTACAACATTAAACAAACAAATGTTTAAATACAGTTTGGGGGAAAATCCTCCTAAAAACCTAATTAATTCTTGTCCACAAACATTTTAACTCCTTTTACCTCCAGTACAAAATAATGTACCGAGTTCTCAAGTTTCACTTCACAGTTGAATGAAATTAATTATTTAGTTTGACCGTGCAATCCTTGGTTCATTTTGTATCTAGTGTTTTCCGTGTTATATATTATTCTGTCTGACAGCTTTGAAATGACAAACCTTCACTGAGTGTCTACTCTGCCTTCAGAGCCTCCTGTAGGGCAGCAACCACGTCATCGGGTTGAGGAAACTTCAGCTTACGAGGCGGACCCTTCTTTATTCCAGTCCACAGAGATGTTTCTTTAGGGATGAGAAGAGAACAGTGTCGTTTGTAAGAACAATATAGAAGATAAGCAATACTACTCAGGTGTTACAACGATCTCTAGAGGATTAGAGTAAAATCAAAATGTTTTCAAGACGATTTAAGATGTGTTAGCTTTGATGTTCAAAAACAAAGTGAACAGCAACTGGTGTACTAACTTCTTAACATTAGCACAAACACAGGGGACACATTATGCCCAATAACACAGGGTTTGTGCAAACTGTATTATATCTGTGAGCTAAAGTCCTGATAAACACAGCCTCCTGCTGACTGTTTGAGCAGGCTTTAATGACAAGACAGATTAGTCGAAGTAAAAGTTTTGGCAAGATTTTCCTTTCTTCACTTCCTTAGTTAACACCTCAGATCCACAGCTGATGTGAAATCTTTTCTATAGAAATTGTGTGGTGTGGCTTTACTGAATGATTGGGGAAAATGTGTTTAGTTTAATTCTGATTAATTCTCTGGAGGATTCACAGGCCTTGCTACAAACCTTATAGGAACTGTGAAGATGAAAAACACAATGATGATTCGCTGGAGCACGGCCTGTGATTATTCTGAGTAACTGGGGCATTATTTCAGAGAAGACGTGTTGCTTAGAGATATTTTTCAGTGCTATGAACACCAAATGAAATTCCATTCACCACCACCATCTTGGAAGTGAATACATCATAACCTCAGCAAGTAAAAACAAATAAGTGCATAGCAAAACAGTTTTTTGGGGGAACTGAACCTTTAATAGGCGCTACAAATGGGTAAAAGTCCAAAATCTGAGATAAAGACGCTCGACAATGGAGTTTTTGCCCCCCTCACCTTTGTCATCATTCAGCAGAGTGATCTCAAAGCTGTTCCTGCGGGGTTTCTCAGGGTTGAAGACCACAGTCAGATCAGGGTGGGCAGCCAGAAGGGCAGATTTCACCTCCTCAGCATTACGCCCATACACTCGTCAGCTCTTACTGCCAGAAATAACAGATCAATAATCAGGAGGACATCTGTGCAGGCTACTGATGTTATCCATGAGGAGCGTGGCTGAATCTGACAAAGCAACTACATAAATTTATCTACGTAAATCAAATACTGTCATACAAGTACAACTTTGTGGTACTACCATTTTATGTGATTCCCAACCATTTATGTCCAACATACCTGCATAGCCCTGTGAGATTGGCTTAAGTACCCCTATATTATACCCCTTCGACAGATGGGATGGCTTTTGGTCAAGTTTGTATTCCTGCTACCACTTGAGGTGACAGAAGCTGGACGTTTCGACCACTTGTATGTTACTTTTAGCGATCTAACTTTTACTTTAGCTTGCTGACTAGTTTTCATGTACTCTCACTCACAGGTTGGTGGAAAATTGAGACGTGTCGGCTTATCATAGCTGGAAGTTTATTGTGACAACAAATCACTTAAGTTCAACAAAAGAAAATAAAACCCAAACAAAAGAAAGACCTACTTTACATCATCAAGATTTGACATACAAAATACACCATCTTATAAATATAATGCTTGATGATAATGGTTAAAGTGAGTTGCGAAGTGGAAGGAGCTCTTTCTAGCGCCCCTGGTTTGAGAAGTAAAAGTCCCATTAATTTTCCCCACAGACGATGTTAAGAGACTTACAATTGGAGTTCTCTCTGCCGGTTAAATAATCAGTACAAAACATTACACAACATTAGTATAAAAACAACTGCGTTGGAAAATATCTTCTTTGATAAAAAGTAGAAGCCTGAAGAAAACGTTCAAGGAAGAAGTCAACTACAACTCCCAAGGTGCCTTTCGGCAAGAACCCACCAATCATCACGTGCAACACTAACTGCAGGTAGAAGCTAAAAATTGTGCAATTTTGTGGTCAACTTTGGTTGAACACATCAACTATGGTGCCCCATTATGTAAACAAATGTAACATCGAAGCATTTTGCGATTTCTTATAAACAACGCTTAAATAATTTAAACTGGTGGTCCTGACGTAAACTTATATGGTTTTTACATTATCCGGGAGAGTCCTGTGCTAGTAAGTTTGGCAAAATTGAGGATAGTGTTGGAAGAAGCAACAGAAATGGGAATATATAATGGCGAAAAAACATTTCCAGACCCAGCAGACCCTCCCACTTCACAACACCACCTCAACCATCTAACAGGACACCTCTCTTAACCGGATGTTTATGCATTAATCAGTATCATGTTAATACTAAATTCAGTAATAGTAGTGAAAGAGGAAATTCTAAGTAATACTTTTGTTTTTTTACATTTTAGTCATTTCTGAACATTTTTTATGTATTACTTCATTACTTTACTGCACATTTGATAGGCTTCTACACTCTGTTCTTAAATCTCTTTTAAAACCCACCTCTTTAGTTTGGCCTGAAGTTGATAAGTTTGATCTATTGATTTTATTGACTAATGGTTATTGCTTTTTTTGCCTCATATGAGCCATGTATTTCATGTCCATTTATTTTTCTGTACAGCACTTTGTCTGTTTTAGTTGTTTTAAAACTGCTCTATAAATACATTTTGATGATTGGGTGATACTTTCAGATGTGATTAACTGCTGAATGAAAGTATAAGTACTTATTGTACTACAGGCTGATTTCAATAAGTTACTCACCAGTGTTCAATGACCACCCTTTGGCCTTGCTGGCACTTCTCCCCCTCTCCCTTGTCCTTATTCTCCTTCTGGGAGGCTTTCTCCTCATCAGCCTGAACCTCTGCTTTGCGCTTCGTCCCTCGACGACCTGAACACACGTGATGTTACATGTTTGTTTTCATAACACAGATTAGCTTCCTGATACAATAAAGACTGTTGTAGAAGATAGCACTTAATAAGGCAGTGAGTCTGCTTAGCCGACATAATGTTAACCACACTCACATTGTGTAGTCAGAAACTGCCTGATGTAACGTTACATCTTTCATCATTAATAAAAGTTTGGATACTACTTTGCTCCACTGTTTGCCATTTGGCTAGCTGATGTTAACTCTATGGCAGCCTGAAAGTCTAACCAAACTCTGTAGTCGTGGTATAGCACACTATACCTGTATATTAACTACACAAGATACATCACATTAATATTGCTACATAACGCAGTTGTATTTGTAGTGAGCATGTAGCCACAACACACCCACCTGCTTTAGACGCCATTGCTCTTACAAAACGTTCGCGCGCATGTGGAGTCGACTGTACCATATTTGGTTGAAGGGGGTTTCAGAATGACGGAAGAAACCATTATACAGAGGGTCATAACAAAATTCCGGGTTTTCTTACTGGTACTTTGACAAATATATAGGTATATATTACGCGTAGCAACACACGTATTCATTTTAAACTGTTTGCTAAAAAATAGGCTGTATTCATCATATGTACACCAAAGGATTTTGTTTATAAAGTCCGTTGGCTTATTTTACCTTGCCACCATTTGTAAAACCCCATTTGCTAAATCGTTATTAAATAGTTCATCACAAAGATCCCAAATCAGAATATATTTTAATGACCAGGCATGTGTATAAACATACAACGAATTTGGCTCCTGTCTTACATTGCTCTCAATACATTCACAGAACAAACATAAACAAACAGGACAACAAGCTCAACAACAAAACAGATACAAACTACCATGTAGGCCTACATATACAGTAAATATAACATACATAAAGAACATAAAAACAACAAAGTTTGTAGACAGCAAGACAATAGTGTAATGGAGCAGAGAGTAAAGGATTTTAAAAGTTTTAATAATAAATACATTTTGTGCATGTGTTTTTATGTTCATGAACAGCATGTGTAGATATATTTTGAGTAATGATATATATGTATAAAAATAATCTGAATTACAACAATAAAAAATAAATAGTTTACAGTATGATTTTATTTTATTTTTTTCTCTTGAACAAGGACACTAATCAAAATCTAATTCACCCAAAGCATTGATGACAACTTCACTACTACTGAATGAATGCGACAAAGGAGCTTAATACAGAGACCACCTATGGACTTTCTTGTAGTATCACAATTGATTTGACAATGACAGAAATTACTGCATGTAATGTAAAACATTTTCAACAAGTAAACCTCTTTTGATGCACAGATGGAGGGTCCGGACCTCTGACAGAATCATGGGAGTCAGACTTTTTTTGGTCTCACATTTGCGTCATCCACCTAGGAAAAACCTAGATACACTTTGAGATTGTTTCCCCCTTCTGGTTATTCCAACTGAAGTATAATGCAAACAGTGGGACAGATGAATTGGTCCCAAGGGTTGTGCTCCCATATCCTCTAATTCTTTGCATAATCTCCAAATGTAGATCTAGCTGAGACATGACTAGAAGACAGCATCCAAAACAAACAAGAGGAAAGTGAGAGAAAACCCTGAAGAGCAACAGGCGGATGTGTGAATTCTCCAAAGCCGAGAGCAAATATGGTTTTACCGGAATAGCAATACCAAATCTTGTGTCTTCCACAGTGGATGTGGCAGTCACATTTTTGGACTCTCAAGCAAATTGTCTGAAGTACGTCACAAGTTGCGTCTCTGCCAACAAACCTATACAACCTCCCAGAGCGAGGCGGTGTGACTGACTCACAGTGGCTCGTCTAATCACTGTTCTTTTGTTCTCTTGTTAACAACAAACTCAAGGCCCACACTTGAACAATTTAACTCTGCCTTTACCATGTGATCAAATCTTTCCCTCTTTCTGAAATACACCAGACAAAAAGGCACATCAGATATCTGCTGTCTTTGGATCCCAATCTGTCTTTGCATTCTGTTTCAGTGTATTTTTAGCCACGTGCGTAACACTTCAGAGGTTTTGAGGATGTCCCCTCTCTTAACCCCCCTCTCCCCTTTTATGTCTAACTGACTCAAGACCGGATGCACAGACCTTTTGACTGCCTCCACATTTCACAATGTGTAGTCCTATGATCACGTGTTCATGCTCACAAACACATGCATGCACAGCACATACGTATTTCATAGTCACAACAGAAGACAGATATTTCATTCATAAATTCAGGGCTTTCTTTGGATGTTTGCTGCTCTCAGCTGCAGCATCTCAAAGGTATATTGTGATGTTTAATTTTTTGATCATCCTGCTGTGCCTTATCCTCTTTCAATCGTTCTATGTAACATTAATTAGTAATACAACTCATGTATTGACATTAGATGGATTATAAAAAGATTTGTTGTACCCAGTAAATCCTTGTGTACTTTTTTAAGTGGTGAGTAACATAGTAATACATTTTCTTAAGACAAACTTGTTCTGAGGTAGTTGAACTTGAGTATTTCCGTTTTATTATAACTATTATATTGTCAGGCCGTTTTTGTAAATAAGAATCTGTTTTTAGTCAACGTGCCTGGTCAAATAAAGGTATAATAAAATAAAAATATACTTCTACATTTGAAAAGGAAAAATTGGCTTTTTTAATGCGCTGCATTTACCTGACAGCTAACTTTTCACATTTAGATTTTTGTGACCCCTCAACAAATCTTTGGGTCATGTTTCAGATGTCTATGAGTTGTTAGAAGAGACCCACTCTAAACACATGATTTAATTTGAATAACTGTTCAAATGATCCAATATTTAAAAGTCCAAAACAGATCAGATACGTTTTTGTTGCAGATCTTTGTTTTTTCGTCATTCTTCTCTACCTACTTCTCTAAACTACCTACTTCATGTAACTATCTTCACATTTTTTTATCTTTAGGTTTTGATGGACTTGAAGAATTTAATGAACTTCTGTGGTTTGAGTCTGCAGCTTTTGAGGTTATGAAAGCCATTTCAAAACCAGTTGCATGAAATAAAACTATGAGGTAAAAGCATCTCCTTTTCTTCTCCTAAAGTCCTCCTTTTGGCTTTTTAAAGAGACACCTTTGGTTGCACTTTACAGTGATACACACACACACACACACACACACACACACACACACACACACTATGGGGTCATTATTGCTCAGTGGGTGAACTCATAGCAAAGTGTCACTGTTGCCACTCAAAATGATTTATTCAGTGAGAGGATCTCCTCATCTCTCTATTTTGCTTCCTCTTCCATTTGATGAGTTGTCAGGAGCAAAGGTTCACTGCCCCATGGGCTCATGTTTCTGGACAACAGTGCTGAAAATGATGTTGATGAATTATGGATGTCATGTTGACTGCAGCACTGCTTTGTCATGCTGTACTTTTAAACCTATTCTTTTCATTAATGTCAAGAAAAGACAACTTTTCTATTCTTTTAGGGAGCTCTCAGCATGCAGTGCCAGTGAATTAATCCAATGCATCCTTCTGAAAGACTCTCTCAGCCTCTTTGTTTCCGTTCTTCGCCCTCTGACGTCAGGGTGTGAGTCTCGGTTTGCCCTCTGCAAATAGGATATGTGTGACGGTGAACGTCAGCGAACACGCCAATGACACGCAAGCGAACACGCCAACTCATAACACACAGGCTTGGCTAAGACAAGTATAACCATGTGGGGGAGACTGTGTGACAGGCAGAGAGAGAGAGAGAGAAGTGCTAGAGTGATAGGGGTTCAGATAAAGACTGAGTGACAGCATATGAAAGGCAGGCAAACAGACAAAAGAGAGGAAGAAAGGCAGAGGCAAGAAAAATAGGATAGAGAATTTGGGGAAAATGAGTGGGCACACTGCGTGATGAGTACACATCATCAAAGTCTGACGACTTCAGAGAAATTCTCCCTGCTAATGGCCTGGTTGTGTTCCATCACTGGAAAAAACAGTAAATATGTCCCTTGACCACCCACCCAGGCAGCTGCTTTCAGGCATAGAGGGCACGCCTACAGATCTGCCATTAAATACCAACTTGGAAGTATATGAAGGGTAATCACATTTGTCACGAGTAAAGTTTTTGATGTGCATTTCTCGAGGTGGTTGACACTGGCAGGAGAAGCTGAAAGAAGATTTCCTCTGTCATCCATTACTGCCAGCTGCACTATTCTGTGAAATTATAACCCACAATAAATGCCTTTTTTACATAATGGAAGTTCAGACCTGTTTTACCATGCAATAAGTCATGATATTAAACATTTATGATTCAAAAAGTTGAACATGGTCACCGTCTGCATGTAAGTGTTCATCAAAAGCTTGAATTGTTCAGACAAATGTCCTTTAGAACAACAGCATCATATCACAATGTCCATGAAAAGACTAAACCCAACGATGTTTTTATCATTGCAGGAAGCCTCTACTTCCAGAACTCATGCTCTTGTTTTAAGAAATGCTTGAAGCAAAAATTTGACATTAGGGATATTGGTGGAGAGTTAGATGAGAAGACTGATACCTGTACAGCAAGTATGAAGCCAGTAGTTGGTTATCCTAGCTTAGCACAAAGACTGGAAATGGGGAAACAGCTACCCTGGCTCTGTCCTTTAGTAACATAATCTGTCTACCAGCACCTCCAAAATGTCATTTTTACACTTAAATTTTTGCACTGTTAAATAAATAGGATACAACGTGCTTTCCAGGTGCTAGAATGTAGATTTTGTCTCCTTTGGACAGCTTTCCCAGGTTATCAAGTACAAGAGAGCAGGTGTAAAAGTAGTTATCTTTCTCCAAATTAGCACTCGTGGAGGGCTTAACAGCAAGTCCTATCTATGGAAAAGACAGAAAAGACATGAATAGACTTTTGGAATAAGCAAAAAATAATGCCCCAATTATAAAACAAGAGAGGTGAGATAGGTTATTGTCTAAATAACTGTGTGTATGCTTAAGGCTATGTACTCTCTAAAACATATTCACTGTCCAGGCAATTTTCGTAAAGTAAAACAACTATATATTTGTTTTTTATTTGGCCTACTTTCTATTTTATTTCTCTAATTCAAAATTTCTTTTATCAAGAGCTTTTCCAAAAATGTGGATGTTAGTGCCTGATAATACTAAAGCTATTAATAGGCCTAATTTAATATTTTTAGCCATGCTTTAGGATTGGCAATGATGTCTGTGGGTTCACCACCTTTCCTCCAGACGACTATCAGCTATTGAATGGATTGCTATATGTACAAACATTTATGTCCCTCTTAAGAGGAATTGCAACAACTCTGATGATCCCTTTTCTCTAGCACCATCACCAATATTTAAATTTGTGTCAGCATGCTAACACGCTAAATCAAGAAAATTAATATGGTAAGCATTATACCTGCTAAACATCAGCATGTTAGCATTGTCATTGTGAGCATGATGTTAGCATTTAGCTGAAAGCACCACTAAGGGAGTGTGTCTATGCTCCCAGGGTCTTTCCCAGCTTAATATCCTTTTAATATGACACATTGCGAGAACTTTCAAAAGGTTTTATGTTCTGTGCGATGTTTTTCTCCTAGGTCAAATGTTCAAATGTTATCCCTAGGTCAATTTAGAAATCCTCACCTAAAGCTTATACAACTTACTACTTACTGATATTATAGTCCTTGAAACCTACGCCCTCAAATTTATGGACAGTTTTCACATTGATTTCTCCACAGTGGCTGAGCATATTTTTACCATTCAAACTGCATTTGACATATCTAATTCCCTTAATTCTTTTGCAATTTGAACTGCTAAGTTATAAAAAGACACACATGCTCATAGGACCCTGGGAACACAGGAATGGCCCATACCTACAGACTCACAGAGAAGCTAGCATGGCTGTAGACTCTTTTAGTCTTGTTCTCTAAATAGTGAGATCCTGTTGCTTGTGCAAATAGCAGATTTTCCTGCTAGACTGGGAGACAACAAGGATTTCTGCAGCTATACGCTGGACCATGACCCAACTAAACCTCTATGGCACTGCTTCACAATATCTCCATTATTTGATTTCAACAAACTCTGTGTATTAACAGTGACCACATTTGTACACTGAACTTGGACAGCATGTTGTCTCAGAGCAGTGCACGATCAGCTTTAAACAGATCTTCTTTGTGCGTCTTGAATTAGACTGAAAAGTTGTAGAGCAGCAAATAAAGAGTTCTGAAGGAAAGATCCTGTTAAGGACAATGTGGGTTGTTGATGATGATGATTTATCTGCTCTAAACTATGAGTGTAAGGAGTGAGGGAGCTTTCGTCAGAGAGGAGAAAAGTAATGAAGAGAAAAGAGGAACAAGGAAAGGTGAGAGCAAAATAAGGTGTGAAAGTGATGAATAATTTGTGAGCTGGAAGACAAAAAATATTAAAAGGCCGCTCAACCAAACTTCTCTAAACTTTAATGTGTGTGTGTGTGTGTTTCATGTTTTTAAATCCCAATGGGGATTTGAATGCACCCCAACCATAACCACCACCACACCAAAATCAAGATCCCCTCAGGTAGAGACTGCTTTTTGTTGACTTGGTTATAGAGTTCAGGTTACAGTTAAGTTAAGGGTAAGGATAGGGTAAGGGTTAAGATTAAGAAAGTGGTTTAGATGGTTAAGGTTAGGTGAAGGGGCTAGGGAAAGCATTATGTCAAGGGGATTTCCCCACGTGGATAGTGGAACAAACATATATATGTATATGCAAATGTAAGTGTATGTGCATGTGTCCTTGCACTTGCAAACAACAATGCATGTGTGCATCACCATCATCATCATCATCATCATCATCGTGGCGAGAGTTAATCTGTTGAGGGGGTGTGCTGATTCCGGGACACATTGTCACATTTTCATCCTGGCATTTTCCCCATTCTGCCCCTTCCCTGAATCATACCTCAACATATCCCAGCACAACCCCAGCTCACACAAACACACACCCACACCTACAGCTCATTTACCCACCTCTCTGTATAACATGGCCCATTATAGCTACCTTCTGCACATGAGAAAAGTGACTGGGTGCGAGGAGTGAACACAGTTGATACCGATGACCTTCAGCAAACACACTCACACTTTCACATGGATTACTTCACACACTTGCGCACACACACAGACATGCAACAACTTCTACCTCCCTTTCCTGAGGGGTTTCACAGGAGCACTATGATGTGATTCTCTTCTATAACTTTTTCCTGACTGTTAACTTGTTTGTCCAAAGATGCCAAAGCTCCTATGTATAAAGACTGCTCTGATGATATTAACCACATTAATGCTTATAATTCTCCCATTTTCTGTGCCTTTAGTTTGAAAGTAAAATATTGTTTGTGTAAAAGTTAAATTCAGTAGGCTATTGATGCAAGACTAGATGAATGCATTGTAGCAATACTATACTACCATCAGTTTTTGTGCTTTATGCACCTTTATACACAAACCACTAAGTAAAGGTTTCTACTATCTATTATCATCTGTATACATTGTGTTGCGCTTATGTGGCAGCTCACTTACTTTTGTCCATTAATTTGTATTCCTTTGTGGAATCCTTAGCAACCAAAGACAACAGTGAAACAACAAAGAAAACTCCCACACACTATTTGATTTTTTCTTTATATTTTATTAAAGCAAAACACTATCCAAACAAGTCTTTTCATTGAAAAATACACAATCTAACAGCGTTACAGTATCTGTCATGTTCTATGCAGAAACTCACAGTCATGGTTCAGGTTGATGGGAATGGACTTATTAACATATGGGAGTTGACAAGGACCATGTGGCCCCCATGAATGATGCAGATCACAATCAGGTTTGTTTGACACTGTGTTAAACAGATTGTTGAGTAAGTTATATCCCATTTTCTAAAAACACACAATGGAGTCAGAAAGGTTCTCTAATAAAGGACAGCTTTAATATGCGAGAGATGGTTTTATGCATGACAGCTTGATTGTGGTCCGCACCATAAAGACCTTATTTGTTCAGAAAATACTGAAAAAGCAAACTGATACACAGAGTCTCATGCATTTCTGAAACTATACAGTTTTGAAACAGTTGTGGGTCCTTGAGACATAAAATACTTTCAATCAGAGCTAAAAAGAAATACACACATCCTCATCGGTGTGGCACACACAGTCACCGATTGCAGGTCAAAGTTTAATGTAACAGGAGCCAGCAAGACAGAGACCTGAGGCTTCAAACAACACAAGGAGCTGTGTAGGATTCAGCCCTGGTGTTGTTTTTATCTTGTTCTGTGTCAGTTTGGACATCCAGACTAACAGACAGAGGCCCTATTCTTTAAGGGAAAACAGGCACATACACAGGCACTCATTTTAAGAAGAGACATGATCAAATTGGTCTTCTCAGGTCCTTTGGTTATTAGTCTGCAACAGTCCAATCCCACTCACACAACAAAAACTGATAACCCTTTTTTGGTTGTGAGCATTTATTTCTCTGCCCATGTTGAAAGTGAGCTCTCATATGTTTAAATAACTCATATCAATTTTTAGATTTTCCATTTTCCCAGTCTGGGAAACAAGTGTTAAGATTGTCTGAGAGAGGAAAAGACAAGAGTGGAGAACATGAAAGATGAAAAGGAGTTTCCACATTGCCTTCCATTTACAACCTAATCTATCTATCAAGCTCTCATTTACTAAATGGTACTAAAATGAAATATAAAAACCCAGCTAGTTTACCCTACAGAGCTGTTTGCGATGGGTGTATGTACAGTGATGATGTGTGGTATGTACAAGCGTGGGTGAAGGTGGTGGTTTGCTGGCATCTCTGGGATCACACAAGATTTTGAATCAGAAGGAGAGAGGAGAACCGCTCTTGGCTGCAGATCTGATGATCCTCTCATCCTTTTCTGCCTTTAGATGAATATCTTAAGCTCACTCTTCTCACATGTTATTAATTTTCTTTTCACATCTGCCTATTATTATTTCCTTTTCTTTTCTTTCCTCCCAAGCCTCTCATTATCTGTGTTAATCTGTGTGAATCCGCATCTTTCTCCTACTTCTGGTATCATTAATCACCACTTTTATTCATGATAAATTAGCGAGGAATAACATCAGCGGTGATTGGACGGTGAGCACTAGTTGGTATAGAAAATAGCTGTAGACGAGTCACAACGCCTGCGTTGTTTACAAAAAATGTCTGTGGACACCACCAGCTGTCTGCGTGTTGTGTCTCGATCATTTCATGATGTTGCTGTAGGTTTCTGCCTTTGTACGGTCACTATCACAGTTTTCATGATGTGATCCCTGATTTTTAAAGCCCGTACCAATAAGCAGCAGCTACTTTAACACTGAAATCCTGTCCTGCTCTACATCAATTCAACTTATCTCTGCTCTTTAAAACAGCCCCCTGCTGCCTCTCCTGTCTCCCTGTGTCAGTGTAGCATCCCCTGCAAGTCGAGGAGTTAACTGAAAGGAATCAAGATCCAGGTTTTTGTTAGAGTTGGAAAGAGCAGGGGGAGAAATCGGAAGATAAAAAAGGGTATGGAGGAGAAAACAGTTCAGCCAAAAAGGAAATGGAGAGTGATTGCGACTATGGAGAGGGAGAGGAGGTGGAGGAGGGATGGGGTGCTGGGAAAGGAGGAGGATGAGGGGAAGGCTGAGTTGTCATAGCCTGGGGGGCACTCCAGCTCAAAGCAGCGGATGGAGGCGTCTTCGTTGCCGTAGTTGGCCCAGTATTCTTCTTGGTCCAGCTTGGGGAGCGCCACCTCATCTTCTGACAGTTCATACTTGGAGGAGAAGGTTTCAGATGGGGTTTTGGGGAGGTACTGAGGCTTCACGGCAGAGAAGGGGAAGGCCTTCACCGTCTCTGTGCTCTTCTGATACGAAGCCTTGGATGAAGAAGCGGGCTTGTTCTTGGAGAACCACCAGCGGGTCTTGGTGCTGAAGGTGGTCGTGGTGCTGCCAGCCAGAGAGCCGGGGTCAGGCAGAGGGCAGAGGGCGAAGTCCAACTCCCGGAGGAATCTGAGGTCCTGGCCACGACGTTGGGATGGAGAGGTGCACATAAGCTCAGAGGAGGAGATGCGGGCCTTACGGAACCACTCCCACAGGGGACGAGCCTCACAGCCGCAGGACCAGGGGTTACCATTGAGGCGGAGGAACTGGATGCCTTGGGTGTCTTTCATGGCCTGGCCCGGCAGCTCGGCCAGGGAGTTGTTGAACAAGTAAAGGATGGTCAGGCGGCCCAGGTCACGGAAAGCCCGACGGTTGACCTGCCTGATGCGGTTGTCATGGAGAAGGAGGCGGTCCAGGTTGACCAGGCCTCTGAACACATTCTCAGAGAGGGCACGGATGCGGTTTCCATGCAGGAAGAGATGAGTGAGGTTGACCAGATCTGAAAAGAGGTCATCCTGCAGAAAGTGCAGCTGATTGTCCTATAGCAAAGACAAAATACAAGAAGGTTTAGTGTTGTGGTAAAAACACATCTTTTAAGTTGTACAATTAATGCTTATTTTGGGATTTCAGATACTTTACATTGTATCTAAAGGAGACTATAAATCTAGAATCGATTAGAAGCTCTTAGCCATATGAGTAACATATAATTACATTTTTTGAAATCACTCAAGTGGAGTCCATCATCTCTATTTCAATCAGTGATTACTATCAGCTGTGATGGGAGGAAAAACGTCCCTCACTTCCTCTGACATTACCATACATGTACACTTGGGGAATGTCCAATTTGAAAGTAGCTTTACAGTGACCTCTTCCACCTGAAACCATGCTGAATGTGGGAGAGATTTTATCATTCCCTGAAAAGCCATCTTGGCAGGGACTCCATCATCCAGCAGCTGTGATCTCACTATTAGCTGCCAAAACGCTGACAACAACTCTGGCAACAAATACAGGTGACGTCTTGAGAAATCTCTGCAAGCTAATATTCATAGTGTACTGAAATGAAGGAAATTAATCCAAAGGATTATAGTAAGCATTAAAATGTGTGGCAAAACAGATTTTTAATTATTTGTGCTTCAAAGATATTTGGTTTTACAGTGTTGGGTTTTAAGTGCTAAATAAGCTGAGAGTTGAGTATTTTATTGTCTTGTTAACATAATTTTGTCAGAACTTATTTTTAATGAAAGAGAGTATTCACACAACTGTAGATGGATCTTCTGTGGTAAATGTGTGAAGCTTTCATCAGTTTGTATCCTGATGTTTAGGTGAAATGTTTAATAATTTTCTGTCAGTCGGCTGCAGGTTTGCTTTAAGAGGCGAGTATGTTGTGGTCTTCTTTTATTCTATCCACTGGTAAGATCGGCCTCTACCATGGTCCTTGTTAGAGTTATGTTTGATCATTGTGTTCCATATGACTTGCAGCTAGAACTGCTGCTGAGAAGAAATGTGTGGGCACCTTCTCCTTTTTGTGTATTATACATGGAGTATTTGGCGGCCACTCACTTTGCAAACACTTATCGTACTGAAGATCTGTAATTAGTTCCTTTCAATCAATCTGAAAGCAATCAGTTGTGCTATTGTGATGGTAACAGAATTTCAAATTGTGTTTTTCCACAGTTAATTAGTTAAATTGTTCCTGCTGAGGTGTGATGCTTTGGTTCTACATGTTATGGGTGTTGTTATATACATCATATTACAGTTTGCATTTTTGTGACTGTGTAACTCACTGAACCTACTGAAACAATCCTTTAACATGCACAGTATAAAAGCGTCTGTATATGTGCGGGTGTGCAGCCTGTAACGTGACTGATGTATCATTAAAAAAATTCTGCAACAGAAGTGTGTATTCCTGCAGGCATCACGTGCACATGCATGACTATCAAGAATGTATCTTTGCATGTGTGTGACTTTAGGTGTGTGTGTGTGTGTGTGTGTGTGTGTGTGTGTGTGTGTGTGTGTGTGTGTGCTGGCTTTACCTGCAGGTAGAGGAACTGCAGGCTGTACAGCTTGTGGAAGAGGTCATGGGGGAGAGCGGCCAACTTGCAGCGATGCATGTGCAAGCTTTGCAGCTTCTCCAAGCCCCTGAAGGCTCCACCTTCCAGGCGCTGCAGCGGGTTATCGCCCAGATCCAGCTCCTCCAGAACCCTGAGGTTACTGAAGGCCCCGGCCTCGATCCATGTGATGTTGTTGCCATATAGCCAAAGCACCTGCACAGTATGAAGAGAAAATCATGGAATAAGAGAGGAGAAATAAAAGTGATTGTGAATGTCTGCAAATATTGCTGGGAAATTCAACAGATGCAAACACATGCACACACACACTGCCATTTTATACCTGTGTCTCAAAGCCAAAAGAGTCTGCGCGAAGCTCTGTGATGCGGTTGTTCTGCAGGAAAACACGTTGTGAGTCATATGGCACCCCAGCCGGGACTATTGTGATGTTCTGGGACTGGCAGCTGACCGTCATGGGCGTGGGGTAACACACGCACAGCTTGGGACATGCCTCCACCCCGCCTGGCTTCACCACCACCAGCCACAAAATCAGCCATAGACACAGTCCACCTGGAGAAAGACAGAGAGAAAGAAGAGGTTAATTCTCATGATAAAAAAAGGAACACAACTTAAGGTTGGGGTGCAGCTTTTTGGCGCTCAGTCTGCCAAGCCTGTTTCTGTTGTCAGTAATCCATTTTAGCACTGCTGTGCTGTGCTCTCACCCTTGACTTGTTGATGGTCCCCCGAACTTTAGGGGTTCATAAATAATTCACATTACAGAAATCATTCACCCATTCATATCCACCAGATCACTTTACATAGGTCTTCATGGCTGGTGTGACTAGGATAGGCTACATAACTCTGGATTTCAGCTAGAGTAAAAAAAATAACCCATCACAAATAGTCTGTAAAGCACTTTAAGAGATATAAAACAACAGGCATAATAAATAAACCTCATGGCTATGAAAAACATGTTTCCCTTGAGATGTTTGCCACGCAGAGTGGACAGGAAAAACCTGCAACCAGACCCCGATCAGTGTCTGTTCTTATCAATATTGCAACAGCTTCTTGGCATAGCTCGGATAACGGCACACAAAAGTGGCCAATGCGGGAGAAGTATATGCATGAAATAATAATTAAGTTCCCATTCATCTGCTGTTCGCAAGATTTTCCAACGGGTCACCTCTTGACCTCTTAACAAGTTGGACTATTAGTGTGCTGGACGCTGGGGGAGAACTTGAGCTTTTGAGTGGAATAAGACACCTTTCTAGTCTTCGTAGCCCAAAGTCGCCACGAGGTGAGGAATAAAGTTCAGAATCGTGCCAGAACAACTCATATCTGCATCTCTCCATGCCTAAAGGAGATCGGGGGGCTTTACAGAAGAGCCAAAACATATTTTTTACATATAACTTTTATCACGTGTTGTAAATTACTTTTCATAAAGGCCTAGATAACGATATCACATAAATTCAAACTTAGTTTTCCTCTAAATCTTTGAATCTTTAAAATGTAAAAGTGCGCACTCTGGCTATGTGCTTCATTCTTCAAAATCTTCAACATCTATATAGGCAATTTAAATTTCAACAAATGTTGAACAATGTGTAAGTCTTGGTAAACTATTTAAAACATGAAACAAAATGACGTCTAGTTCAGCTTTTTTACCACAGACACACAAGGCTGCTAATGGACCTACCCAGAATAACATGTAATTTTAAAGTTTAAAATTGGTTTGCTCCTCAAATAACTTGTTGAAAATCTAAAGAAATGCACACAAGTGAAAGCCAACTAGGTTAACTCACAGAAAAACATTTGCAAAATCAAAAGCCGTCAAACTGCAGGTGCAGGATGGAGATGCTACTCACTCTTAAAGTTGTGGGCGCTGGAGCCCCTCATGGTCCAACGAGTCTGCATCTCGAACCAAAGCCGAAAGCGAGTTAGCCTGCGCGGCGTGGAAGTGCCTGCTTGCTGCTATCTCTGCTGAGGTTCAGCTCTGGTGAGCGAGTCGCTGGGGCTGCAGGTTGTGACGAGCTGGAGTCTCGGGTTGCTGTTTATACCCGCGGCCGGTTCGTCGCCCACAGCCGTGGGCAGCGGAGGATCCTCTCTACGTCAGCCCGGGAGGAGGGGGGAGAGTCACCGGAGGAAGCACAAGAAAGGCAGTGGCAGGCCGGGTTTTGTCACTGTCTTCACTGTGGCGTTACCTAAGAAAGTAAGGCATCACTGTCTGTCAAAAGAAACATTGTTTCTTGCTTGATTGATTAGGCTATTTATGATGAGGTAATTAGAGGCACCTTAAACTCAGACTTCATATAACAAATGTTAGAATTTCTTTCTGAACACGAAAAAAGTATCCTACACATTTTCTCATCCTTTAAAGAGATGTACCCTAAATTAACTTTTAGTAGTCTGATAAACTCATCATTTAAGACAAAGTGCAGTGTGGGAGGAAGCGGACTGACTGGAGGTGGGATGAAGGTTTTTGGTGACAACAAACTAAGATTTTTCTGGGAAATGGTTATCAAGAGTGTTTGTGTTTGTTTTTGTGTGGTACCACTGTGGCACATGCACTCACAAGGGGCTTGGGGGAGGATTGGAGGCGAGAAAAGTCATTTGGCATTAAAGCCAAAAACTCATCTGTCTCATTTAGTGTAGGCCAGTCTGGAAATAGGCCAACAGCCGCCTACAAGTCAGAAGAACAGATGATCATGAAAGGGAAACCCAGCGGTGGAGCGAAATTATCCAACGCAGCATATGGACTCAGGAGTGGAGATGAGATGCCACTGACAAATTTCAGTGGGACAGCACATAATGTACATACAATTACATATGACACCATCAAATACGCTTCTATTGTTCTACATTCATCAAATCAACAAAATCCAAGATGGCTTATGTAGCATTTATTATAAATGCTGTCATGTGTAGAAGTAGCACGGTATTTCTTTGCACAGAGGATGCCATCAACTCATTGACACTGATGGCGAAGGATGAATAAGTCACACTTTGGGTCTAATTATACCCTGGATGCACCTTCTCCAGCAAGTGGTTTGCTGGAGAAGGTGCGGTGCTGCACGTGGGATGGGACGTGGGACAGGACACGGAGGTCTTCCTTATGTGAAACAAACAGTGTCAGGGTAGTGGTGGGCCGGGTTTACTCATTACTGAGTCCTCCCTTCATGACACAGGTCAAGGCCAGGTTCACCATGATGCACATCATCTGTTCCCAAATGAACACACACTCACCAAAACCTGCTTCATGGAAGGTCATCTGCATCTCCAAGCTGTGAGCGCAGTGCGGGGCATAAGTTGCGCGTCTGGAATCACACTGATTCTTGGCTTACCAATCAGGCATTAGTTGCCTCCACGGGGGGCTGTGGAACAGATAAGGTCGCGTGTATGTGTGTATGTGTGTGTGTGTGCCTTCATATAATGTATTCACACTGTTCTTGGCCCCAGGATAGCTGGGGGAGGCAGCCAGCTCACCAAACAGACTCCATCTTCAGGGAGACTGTGGGAGTGTGTGTGTGTGTGTGTGTGTGAAATGTAATAATGAACCATCCAAACACATAAGCAGGATGCATGAATGTATGTACAGGACAACATACACACACACACATACACACACATACAGATCCCCTCCCTCCCTTACATCCTCCAACAGCCTGCTGTGTCAAAGTGAATCACGGGCACACTGGCATTTGAACTGGTGTAAACACAGCATGTTCAAAGGATCTGTCCTGATCCTAAAAAAAATGTGTTGCTGTCTCCGTCCATAACCCCCACTTACAAACAAAAACACTCACACTCACACTCACGCACACACACACACACACACACACACACACACACACACACACACACACACACAGTGCTGAAGACCTTGTGTGGACAGAGGGTGTGTTTCTGCCCACTGGGTACATCAGGGTCGAGAGGCAAGAAAACAGCAGAAGCTGACCTTGAAAACTGAATGTTGACTTGTTTTACCACGTGTATGTCTTTCTCAAATTGACTTTCTGAAAGTTTTACATGTTTTTTTGTTTCTTGCCTCCTCAGAGAGCTTTGGCTGGGTCCCCACTCGGCCCGACTGAGGTATTTCCAAGTGAAACAGAACACTTTTAGTCTACCTGAACTGTGATTATACATGTTTAAACAATCTGCAGTTGTCAGGTCCCAGAACCTTAATGTCGGCTGGTAACTAACTGCCAAAGTGTTTCACATTCTTCAAATCCAAGTAATTAAATGCAGCATGAGGTTGAAATGTGTAGTAAAGAGTATGAATCAGACTAAATGTGGGTGGCATTCGGGACATCAAAGTTCTGACAAGCAATTGTTAACGAGATTATGAATCATCTGATATTTAGTTGCTGTGTCAGAAGATAAGCTTGTGTGTGTAAAGTTCAAATTTTCAAACATTTAAAGTATATGCTTTTTTAGGTTGTTAAAGGCCTCAAAATTGTAGTTGAAAGTGATGTGGGCGACAGAATTCATTATTTGAGAGAAATTAATTTAGGATTATTTTTCAGTAATGTCAATCTGAAATCCCATTTATCTTCGGTTTTGCAAACACAGAGAGGCAAAGTAAGAGATTGAGGCATTGTGATTATGTGTGTGCTGTATAAAGACTAGCAGCCACAAAAAAGGGGACAAAAAAGTGAAGTAAAGATATAATAAATGGCCAAAAGTATGTGGACACCAACACATTATGTTCATATGTGATTATTGAACATACCATTCAAGACAAGTCAGTTTTCAGTCAGCCACAAGAGCATTGGTGAGGTCCAGCATTGATGTTGGGCAATAAGGTTCACAGTCAGTGACAGACAGACATATATAGCAATTGTTAAGTTGCTTTGAATAAAACATCAGCTAAATGAGTAAATGCAAAAGTTACATTATTATACATTATATTGTAGGATTATTATAACTGATGTGTAAGTAGCAATTACTGTTGTAGTTTGTCCGGGTAGTGCTAATTAACAATGGCTAGGTAGTTTTTTTTATCTGAAAAGTAATTAACTTTTGCTTACCTAATAAACGTTGTGGAATGAAATGTATGATTTTCCTGTGAAAATAGCAAAAGTATACCATAGAATTCAGGAAGTCTTGCTTGATATTAAAGTGGTGCAGACAAACATGGGAAAAAACCTAAATAATCTAATAAATGTATTGTTTGAGCATATAGGCAATCAAATAAACCAATGTGAATTGAGTCTAGGTTTTCATCACGGTCTCTGATCTATGTTGATTGCCTATATGATCTATTTCAGCAGGACAAAGTTACGTGTTTTTTTTCCTTGATTGTCGGTACCACATAATGTTGAGCAAGACTTCCTGAATCCTGTTTTTTGTACTTTCACCTAAAGAACACCTGTCGGATCAGCCATTAGAGCTATGCATTCCTTCTTCCAGTACAAGTACCTCAGTATTCTACCAAAAAAGTACAGCAGTTAATGTACTTACTTACTTTCCACCACTAAAACAAACCATGATAAATACCCCCAGACCAAACTGCACTAGGTATGTTAACATAGGTGTCCACATCCTTTTGTCAATATAGTGTAATTCATTTTTTGTCGCATTTGTTTTTGCCTCATTAGAAATTACAATGAATAGAATCATAAAAGTCACTGTGTTCATTTGCCTTGAGCTTTTGGTGTGCCTAGTTTCAAGTTAGACCCTAAATTGAGCATCAACAAGCTCATTGAGCGTGTTGTAGCCTGTTGAGCCAGTCATTCATTCTGTTTCAGAGATCATTTGCTTCCCGACCAGCTCTTCCCCGCAGCAGATGGAAAACAGCACACTAAAGTGAGACCATTGCAGTTTTTCTCCATTTGCTCCAATCAAAGCGAACAGACATGAGTTAGTTGGCACATTTTGAGTAAGCCTGTCAAAATCTGTGTGTCATAAAGACATCCTCAGTCCCTGCGACAGATTCAGCCCGATTTAAAAAAAAAAGATAAACAACAACACATAACAAGTCACCTCATTAACACACTGGCTTATTTTTATACTCCACTCACGCCTTCGATCTTATTTCTGTAATTCATTTGTTTATGCAAGTCTGTATTTTGACATGGCAGAGATTGTGAGATTGTGATCACTGATGACGGAGATGCAGGGGAAGAACCAGAACCTGTCACCATGCACATGTTCCTGCACACACTCGATGTGACAGACTTTGTGGAGTTGCATCAAGTTTTTCTGGGCTCACTGTGTTGTCACAACAGCAGGTGTGCAGAGAACTTGAGAGAGGCTGTTGTGGGGGAGTGTCCCTGTAATTTCAGGTTTAAACCCTGCCAGAGCTTTTTTCCCCCACGCAGACGTTTCTGCCCCGTGTGAAACCTCTTCACTGCTATCACAACATGGCAACGCCTACCCAGAACACCAAGAGCCTCAGTATGACTGGAGACACCACACTGTCCTCTGAGGCTGCTGTGACAAATCCTGCAGGTTTGGACTTCACCCATAGAGTCAGATCTTTCCTTGTAAAAGTTAGCATTGGGTTAGCAACAGTATTGGACTCACAATGGGCAGTTAATAACTAAATTGAAGCAGCAGAACTCTATAGCTCTGAGTGTATGTACTCCTTTCTGTATCTAACTGCCCAGGCTCAGCAGTAGCACGTGTGTGTGTGTGAGCAAGCTTGTGTGCTTTGGGAGCAAAGGGAGGGAGCACAGTAAGATAGCATCAAAAACACTTGCAAAGGAAAGATTTTGTGAAAATTGTATTACAAAACATACATTAATATAGTCCATCACAGTAACAATGTCCTGTTTCTAGCACGGAGCACAAACAACACCAGTTTATTCCACAAAAGTCAGGTTATGGATGAAATGGCATGATCAAGCGGAGTGCTTGCAAAGGACACAGAGAGGAGGAGCAGGCAGTCAGGAAATTTCCCAGACCCAGGTGCAGTAGGAAAGAGAGCCAAGAGATGATGTGAAGCCAAGAAACAGAGCTATAAAAGGAGGTCCAGAAGGAGGTGAAAGTCAGTCGTTACATGGTTTTCATGTCGACTCGGGTCTCTGTTCTGGTAACAGAATGGGGCTCTATTTTGCACCGATCTCTGACACACTCTGGTGGAACTTTTGTATTCTAATTGGTGTCTGTTTGTGTTGGTAATAAAAATGTTGGTAAAAGTTCAAGCTTTCTTATCTGGCCTAAGTCTTGAATTTTTACACGACATTAACATCCCATCCAGATCTCCTAACCACCTATTCCTTCCAAGGCCTCAGTGAGGCCTTTGTGTCAGTGTAGTTCTCTACACATCTTCTCTACATGTTGATTCACAAATCCTTCCCTTAGATTACGTAAAACACTCTTATGCTACACTAATTTATAGGAGTACAACTAAACTATTAACAAGCAAATTATGAACAGCAGACCTTCTGTGTGAGATCTCAAATCCCGGGGATTGTTTATCTGCAGTCTGTTCTTTGTCAAACAGCTGCATTGGCCATTTCTCCTTAATTCACTTCATGTACAGTTGCAAACAAATGTTATCAGGACACAGCTAAATGTTACACAAGAGACCAAAATCAAATAGCAAACTTTCATGCAGTCAGTTTTTCCCGATGTCAAATGGTATTTCTTTTATATAATTTAGTCATTCAAATATTAAATCAAAACTGTTTAATTCTTACTTATTATTTCTTTCAAATTTAAAGGCTGGTTTTTGCTCCTGAGGGAAAGTTGAAAAAAACAGATGGTTAATTGGGGTTTTAAACTATTCTTTACGCTCAGAACATAATAAACACTTGCCAAACAGTGGATCACTTCACATATATGATGTATGCATATATATTTATGATATAAATGTCTGAATAGAAAAATCAAGTGCTCATTTGTTTGTGATTCAAATTAATTAAATCAAACATTTATTGAAAATTTTTTAAATAGTAAATTTTAAATTGAGGAAAATTGTATCGTGATAATTACCATTATTGTTTTATTGCCCTAACATGTCTTTTTATTTTGTCCATGTGTAGCGCTCCAGATAACTGCTGTCTTCCCACTAACAGTTGCCCCCTCTCTCCTGAGAGAAAGATCCTTCACTGTTATTCTGTATTTTTTTCTCTAACTATATCCCACAAGAATGCGCCACAGTCACAGGACAAATTTTTGTGCAGTAAAATAACCTGAAACTTCTTAAATGTTCAAACTTCACCAGTTTAGCATTGATATTCCATAAAGTTGGATTACGAGTGAGAGTATACTAAATACTGGTAGAAAAGTATTTGACTGAGTAATCCGACATTTAGTCCCCAAATTTCCCCTAATTCAGCTCAATAGCATCTTTTGATAGAGCCTCTTTCCTTGTAAATGCCCACATCCTTCATGTTCATGTTTGTAATGCAGGCTTTGTCATCTCATATCAATGATGATATAACCAGCGTTATTTTTTCAGGCTTCAGAAAGCTCCTTTCAGAGCCACATACACAACTGATTTCACAGGCTGAGTACTACTCCTAATGATAAGTAAACTGATCTTGGTATGTAAGATCTGTAGAGTGCCCCTTGAATGTGTCATTGTTGGTGATGAAAGACATAAATCTGCAAATGAATTATATTTGAGAGCATCTTGTTATTTCTCCAACACACACCAGAGAGTCAAGTGTTTGGAACTTAATTTTCTGATCCTCCTGAAAGTGAACACAACAAATGTTTCTGCTTTAATATTTGACATACATTATGAGCATGTCAGAATAATTTTAAAAGTTAATGAAAATGAGTTTCAGACCGTGCCCTAATCTAAAACAGCTCTTACAAAAGCTAACAGTCTGTCAACTGCTGCTTTAAATGCAAAACCTAACAATACATTTTGAATAAGACTTTGTGCAGCTGATGTTACATTCAATCCATTCCAATCAAGTGAAAACCACTGGGGAACACTGGGGAAAACACAGGGAATTCAGGGTTCAGCCTTTAGATATCACTTGAATGTTTATTTTAATAGTAAAAGTAAACATCAAAATGTAATAATGCCCTTTACTACATCCTAAAGTTCATATCAAAAGATACATTTCATGTGGTGCAGCACAATGAGTTTGCATATTAATAGAAATGTTTCCACCATTTGAGCACCACAAAATATACAGTCGACCTACAACAAACATGCTGGTTAAAAAAGGTACATATTTCCCTTTGTAATCCATTACATATGATTACTTGTCTTTTCATTAAAAAACAGAATCCTTCATGGCACCAAATCCTTCTACTGAACTTCACAGACAACAACACCTGAGATGTCATATGTTACTGTAGGTTAATATTTGGGGCCAATAGTGATATTAGCAGCTAACACCTAAACTAATAGGCCAGCAGGTGGCAGAGCTGTGTTGCCTGTTGTAATTGAACAGTACAGTACAGTACAGTATCTGAACTCACATGGTAAAGCAATCAGTGAGACATCAGAAGGCAAACAGGACCTTTGTCCTGACAAAGCGGCTTCACTGAGCTGTTTTTACACCAAAGAATTAGCATAGAGCTATTTTCTTTTACACTGTACATGTCACTGATCGGAAGTGTCCCTCATGCAGTCACTAGACTTAACACTGTTGGTCGTATACCAACAGTGATAAAAAAAAAAAGAAAAGAAATATATATATATGTGTGTGTGTGTGTGTATATATATATATATGTGTGTGTGTATATAGATAACATGAAGAGGTCCACAGTGATATAAACATTACAGTAACATCTTCAGCTTTTTTACAATAAAGTTATCTTTTGGCACTCTGAAACCACCATAACCATGGTGTGATAGGTGACTAGCGTTAACACGGAATATAAAAAATGGCAAAAATGCTTATGTTAAATTGTATAAAAGAAGAAAAACGAGACACATCACAGTCATGGATAAGTAGAATGACAGCAGCCAGAATTAGGAATTTTAACTGTACACAGAACAAACAAAGCTCACAGTTGCTAGAGATGTTTGCTTTCCAAACAGGATCTGTATGGCAACACAACATAGACATACAAAACACTATTAATCAAACAAACTGAAGAGGTAACACTGGTGATATTAAGGCCTTTTTAAGTGCGAGTTCATGGTCCGATTTTAAAGACTTTAAGAGGAGGCGTTGCTCTTGGATCGCTGGGAGGCAAGACTTCGACAGTGCAGGTAAACAGAGAGCGGATGGATGAAGGCGAGCAGGCTGAGCAGCGTCAGACCGATGTTCACCTGCAGACACACAAAGGAAGCAGTGAGAGGACAGTTAGATACATAGATAAAGATGGTGATAACGGTTGGAGATGGACCAGGGTGGGTGGGATTTAGAGTTGTGTTATGTACTCACATATAAAGGGTCTCCATTCAACACTCCTTTCACCAGGGCAAAGAAGGGATACTGTAGCAGAGAAAACACTGCAGACAGAGCCATGACCAGACCATACAGCTTCCCAAAGTGGCGTGATGGGAAACTACACACACACACACACACACACACAAACACACACACACAGTGATAACATGGCAAAGAGAAGGAAGTGGTGAAAAATAAGTGGTGAGAGTAGTAGGGAACACAACCATTTCTCATCAATATAATGTATACACATATAACACATTGCAATGTAGTTATAAGCAGATATAAGATATGTTAACATTATTCTTGTCATACTTGAGTTTAAGTCATTTCTAGAAATGTTTTCATTTATTTGTTATGACAATTTTTTTATTGGTTCCTCTACTTTTGTCTCAAAATGTTTTTTTCATTTTAGCATTCAACAAATTAATGTCTACATTGTGGTAAATTGTAAAGTTCTTTGGGAACACCTATCATCACAGTAAATGAATAAACTGAACTAGAAAAAAATGAGTTTTCTGTTGTTTTCAGATATGCTGCCCACATATTTTTAACATCTGTAGTCCACAAAGACTTTTGTTCATGTCAGCATTTGTGTGTGTGTGTGTGTGTGTGTGTGTGTGTGTGTCTGTTTGATACTCACGCTACACTGATAAAGGCCGCATTGCCGCCGTAGAGGAAGGAGCGGTTGAGCACCTGCAGGATGAAGGTGAGGTACTGTAGTGGCAGGTACGGGGTGGAGGCACAAACTGAGAACAACACGCACTGCAGCGCCGTCAGGAAGAGGGAAAGCACAGATGCCCGCAGGTCTGCTTCCCGTTCACTCTCCCCTACAGACACACACACGCACACACAAATGAAAACACACACCTCGGTCGTCAAATAATACAAACACAATAAAATGTAACAAAAGTAACAAAGTAAGTAAGTACTCATTTTGCAGAATGGTAGGCTACATTTCAGAATAATATATACCTATTATATAACTGTATAAGAATGGTGTATATCACACCCCCTTTTGGGAGAAATAATCATGCTTCTGCGTAAGGACAAAAACAGGATGATGCCTTTTGTGTAGCAGGTTGTTAAAAAAATAAACATATGAATCCAGATAACATTTGAGGCTTATAACAATATGAATGTTCAGTGTCAGTGTGGTAAATAGCTAAATGACGTCAGTGGCAGTTAATGGATAGCTAGCTTGAGTGGGAGGCTGCTGGAGTAAAGTCATACAGTATAGCAGCATCAGACTGTCTTCTCCAACTAATTCTCAGCCTAGCTCAAACAGTTGATCATTCCCCCAAAAAGTAGCCATATGTGCTGTTCTGATGTATTAGTATACAGATTACCTGCAGCCCGAGATTTGCCCTTGTGTCTGTCCATTATGAGACCGTTCCAGGGAGCACACAGCACGCCGCACAGCTGCGTTATAGCAAAGGCATTGGTGTACTGGCTCACTGCAGGCACACACGCAAGGATAAGATGGTTATAGGAAAAAAAGAGTCCAACAACAGCTCAACAAGTCTGCCAGGATATGAGATAACAGATCACAAAGGCAGACAGAGGGCCACTTTTTAGTTAAATGAGAGGGTTTTTTTCATTATTAATCTCACTGCATGTTAAGACAATTATTTTCAACTTAAAAACATAAGCTTTCCTCTTGGTACATTCTTTTTGTGAGATTGGGCTGTAATACCATAGAGGCCATAGTTAGCCATAGTTAGCCATAGAACCATTGTTTGTTCTGTTTGTTCTTTTATATGATTAAGAGCTTTTACAGCACTTTCCTGCTCGTATAATATTACTTCAGTCACATCCCCTTTTATAAGTATTCACTTCCCTTCTGGCACAGGATTGTGAAAATGTAGTAAGGAAGGTTTAAGCAAACATTTGTCATTGCTTAGACAAAGTGACAACATGATTGCGCTGTTGTTGTGTGTGTGTGTATGTTTACCCAGCGAAGGCTCTCCTGCTGTCAGACGATGCAGCATGGGGTTGAGGGTGCCGATAAACAGGTAATGTCTGAGCTGCATCACCGACAACCAAAGCAGGTGCCACACAAAGAACCAGGAGAGAAAACACTCCCGGAAACTCTTCTCTGAGAGAGGCAAGGGAAGACCAGAGAGGTGAATGAAGAGGAGGAAAGAACAAAGATGAATAACAAAGATGAAACAAGAAAGTTATTAAGAAAAGGAATACAAATGATTCTGGAGAAATAGGACATGTGATTACTTTATTCTGTTAGATCTCACTATGCATTAATCTACGCCACAGTAAGCACACACCTTGTTTCACAGGGACGTCCTTGTTGAGTGGCGTTTCCTCTACGGTCCTCTCTGCGCTACTGTTCGCTGTTGTCTGCTCTGTCTGTTTACCACAAGTTATCCTGACAAAAGTCAATGGTCACAGTAGGTCAGCCGTACACTGAGGGCATTGTGGGAGTTCTTTGTAATTATTTATTTTGTGAGGCTTTCAAGTTCCAACCCGCAGTAATCACATAACAGTATATGAAGGATATTTCCAGGAGATGATGATGTGAAATCAAACTGTGGTAAAATAAAAAAAAAACTTTGATTCATCAATTGTTTGTTTACCTTTCAAAATCTGGAACTGAATTAATAATCAATCCGATTTTTTGGATGATGAAAGCTCAGTGTTTCTTTCATGGATTTTATAAAAATATGCAGATTTTAAAAAAAGATCAGATTGGTTCAAAATGTTTTTTGACACAGACTTTATGTCCCATCACACCTAATACCTGTTTTTCTTGCTGTTAAGAGTACACTGATCAGTACTGCAAACTTTAAAGTATGCTTTACACAGTAAACAAGGTATTCTAGCGAGTTCCCACTTAAGCCATGTCTGTATTTTTGCATTTTTATTACATTTTCAATCATTTTCTAAATATCTGTAACAAACACAGATAAATTCACAGATTATTTAAATTTCTTGAAGATAAAAACAGTAAATAACGAGCCTATTTACACTTGACATGTATGAAGTGTTGTCGTACCCGTATGTGTAATGATCAGGCAGCGGGTAGGGAATGAATTTTCTGGGCAGCAGGAAGAAAGTCCTGAGCAGATGAATGATGCCGCATGCGGACAGAAAGAAGAAGGAAGAGCGGAGAGAGATGCCAGACTCGTGTAACAACTGCGAGAAGAAGAGAAGAACGGGTGGAGCTCAGGACAACATGGTATATGTATATCCAGTAGATTTAATTCACAAGAGCAGTGTGCTAATATTTCTCACCTTGATGACGAGGAAGAGTGCTGAGGAAGAGTCGAAGGCCCCGTTGTAGAGAGTGATGATGGTGGAGCGATGTGAGCCGAACAGGTTTCCTACCTGTAGGAGAGAAATTTAAGGAGAGAAATTTGAATTGATGAAAACAGATGAATGTTGTATTTATGTGCTTATGTGTCTGTGGGACTTTTGGAAAATGTTATTTTTTGCATCTACCTTTGTGTTATTCAGTGTAAAATAAGTTCTTGCTGAGTTGAATTTCCTGTTTGAATATGTAGATGTGGTTTTTGGATTGACAGCTACACTTTTTAAACTCATTAAACATCACAGTTTTCCCGATGGGCTTTGTATGTTGATTTCCCACATGATCAATTGCTCGGCCTGAGAAAAGTACTGCAGGCAACAGAAGTGCACAAAGAGCAGACTTTGTCTCATTTGTGTTCTTGTTAAATGATGACCTGAGGACACGAAACATCATGAAGTCAAACCTCTATGTTTCTCTGTCAGCTTTGGGTCATGGGATGTGTTAGAGTTAGTGGTTCTTGATTATGAGTCTTTGTTACTGTATCTTTAGGTAATAGTGCACTGAATGAGCTCATAATAAGAGAGATCGTCTAATAGGATATAATTCTAGATAATAATTTCACAGTACATTATTTTCATTTTATTTTCCTGTTGTAAAATGAATGCTTGCTTCAGTTCACCTGCATGTTGGTGATCAGAAACATGATGCCACCCACTGCCAGGAGAGAGAGAGCTGGGAAGAGCAGGTTTGAAAAAGCTGAAAGAAAGAAATAGAAAATATGAGCATCCACAGTTGTTAGAGTCAGCTGTAACATCTTACTTCATGTCACCATTTCTTTAGACTATACGGGACTGAGAAAGTGCAGGACAAAGATAAAGTCTTCTTCACCTGAAGTTGCAAAAGCCACCATCAAGCTACCCATGGTGTACAGAAATCTGGTGGAAAAAAGAAAAGTGTTATCATCATATAATTTTATTGGCATAATGGGAGTGCCACATTGCTAGGCACTAGAGCAAGGGTGACGTTAAATGTTTTCGAGAACAAAGAATTTAAGATGGGAAAATTGGTCTTTAAATGAATAAAAATCAATGCGCTTAAGTCACAGTAAACACACATTCACACGCAGAGGAGAACTTTTGGCCGATATTCCTTTCCTTTTCCTGGCCTGTCCTATGCAAATATCTATCCTCATCTCCACTTGCCTCCTCTTGTCCAACTATTTGCATTCCTTGGGTTTTCCCTCCACCCTGTTTGAGTGGAAACATATGGATGGCCTTGGTACAAGTTTGTTGTTGTGGATTAAGGTATATCCAGGGCAATAAAGTGGGCAGGTATGTGTGTGTGGTGTTATATTATATGATAAATAGTAACTCTGAGGGGGCAGAGAGGACTTCTTAGTCAGCAAAATAAATATTTATATTTATATATAAATATTGCTTTCTGAAATTCTTCCATGCTCTGGTGATTAATAGTCCAGAGATATTTGTTAAGTAAACAGCTGTTATTGTAAGCAAACAGCTTTAGGAATGCCTCAGAGGGAAATACGAGAGACAAACTTTGCACAGAGAGTCACAGCAATGAACCTCGTCTGTCTTTAGTGACAATATGTTTGGTTTAGTGAAAACAGCAGGACTCTTTGTTATGTTTAGTTTTATTGCTGCATCAGAAAACTGGAACTTGTGGCTAAGCAAATAACTCAAAAAGGAGTTGATGTACTTTATTTGTTTTTGTTATGAAAACTATTGATGTACAAACTACTTAGTAAGCGTTTTGCTTTTTATGTTAATTTATCTTTTGATCTTATGGAAGCAGAAGTTACCATGTGGTTACCTGTTCAAAGCCAGTGTCATAGGTCAGAACTAGATGTGTAAAAACACACAGTGAAAGTATACTGCAACAATTGGAAAAGTTTGAATTGGGAGAAGTGAATATTAAATTTAAGTGCTAATTCTGGCTTCTATGTGCATACCTTAGAGACATGGTGACTGAATTCCTTTGTTTTGCAGAGCTAACTAGGAAAAGAGTTTCCTCAAAGACTTTGGCCAGCTGTGTGTTGCTGTTGCTGTTACTATAGAAATACCACAAATTAATAATAATAATAAAAATAGTAATATCAGTTTTACTGTAGTATTTTTTTGAAACTCCATAGAGAACATTACTATATTAATATTATTGAGTTGGTTATGGTGATCTTATAGTGTATATACCATTTTTACCATACCACATATACCTAAACGTTTATATAGTATTACTATAGTTATACTAATTGTTTGTGTACATCATTACTAAAGTGTTTTCTATATTTTTTCCAAATGCATTGTACAAAGTTACTATAGTAATATTAAACATTTATTATAACATCATCATAGTATTACTAGAGGAATGTTAAAAAAACAACATTGGACGCTATAATTATTATATTTTATATTATATTAATAATACAGGAGACATAAAAACCATCCATAATTTATATTATATCAATAATATTTTTTATTATTATCATTATTATAGTATACTATAGTAATACTATGGTTCATTTATGTAAGGGTGGGGTTGGTTGGCACACTTTTATGTTAAAATATTCTAACAAACAGCAAACGAAAGGTTAAGGTCTCAGCTATAAATAAATAAGTTTATGTACAAAAATGTTTTCTAAAATTAGGTGATTCAAGATTTGTCACTTGAACTTGTCAGTGTTTGTCTTTCCATTCCCTTTACCTACCCAGCTGGTGGGCTTTCAATTATCTACTGAGCAACATTTTGGGTAAATTAAATAGGAAATCCTTTAAATCCACCATGATGATGAACATTTACTCTAAAGTAATTAAGGCTATTGCTGTTGGACTCACATTCCAAAGAGTCGAGCCACCGTAGTCCCAAACCGGTCAAAGAGGAAACCATTGGGCAACGTCAGGAAATTGTTCATAAAGGAGGCGATAGTGAAAACAAGTGAGAACTGTTCATCCTGTCCGCTGCAATCTGTAAAAAAAAATAAAAAAGGATAATATATATCTCAAATATTTTAAGTTTATTTTAAAATCTATGTGCTTAGAATGAGATTATTTTTACAGCGTAAAATTACTGGATCATTGGATATTCAGAATTCAAAGTAGTAGAGGTGAGGATATCAAACTGACCTAACACGGTTGCATTGACTCCTGTGGTGTTGATGCACAGAGAGCTGAAGTAGCCCTCCGTCTTCAGGACAAAAACAAGCGAAGCCCACCCGAACACGGCTCCAGCGAAACACAGACACTCCACCAGACCCGTAGCAAAGGTGAGCCAGCGTCGCAAGCTGTTCCCAAAACCCGCCATGGTCACGCACACTCACCCACACACACAGGCAGACAATTCACAAGCACAATATTTTCACCTGCATGGACACACATGCAACCACGCACACAGGTGGCTTCTGTCACTCCACCTGCTAAAGTAAAAGAAAATTAAATGAGAAATGCAATTGGTTGTAAATATTGATGTAGGACAGCCGAAAAAAGTTACATTCATTGAGATACTTGTAGGACATAAAACTCCCATTTTAACAACATAATGATTCAATATAAATCTGTGAAGCCACAAAGAGGTAAAATCCAGAAGCAAAATGCACAGCTGGATATATTCTCCAGATTACTATGCTCTAGTACTCACAGTTCAGTCTCTGGAGGATTTCCTCAAATGCTCTCACAAACCCCCCCTCTCTGCTCTTGATTTATATAGACCTTGCTCTTCCCCACCAGTTCCCTCCCTCTCCTCCCTCCCCAACGTTTTTTCTCTTCTTCAATCACTCTCTCTGGTACAAATAACACTCCTGCATTCCCAGCAAGCCAGACAGCATTGGCACCGAAGCTACGAGACAAACTCCAGATGTGGATGCTGGGAGTGCTGGGTAGACCAGTTGCGAAAAAGGTTGTGTGACTCCCCCAGCATTCTGTCTGGTGTTTTATCTTTGATTTATTTACTTGAGCACATTGTGACTCGTGTCTGTGAAAGGTGCTGTATAAGCAAAACTTTGCGTGCTTACATGGAAGCAACTCGGTGATCGCCGTGTGGAAACTGGCTCTCTGGGTCATGACCATATAAACAAAACATCCCTGATAGGCCTTGAGAAGTTTATCATATGTTAAGTTAAATAGGCAAAGTAAAGTTAAACATTGGACATTAAAACCAGGACTTTCACCAGCACCTATTGGTTGTGTTGGGATTTATGTACATAAATAATTAATCAGAAGTCAGGTCAAGTGAGGAAGGCAAAGATTCAACGTGACTATGTTTAGAATTTAACCGTCACATTAATCTAATGTCATACATAAAAAAGAGAATAATATCCTGGAATCAGATCAGGGTCATTTTATAATCAAAATACATGACTGGTTGCTAAATCAAGAGACTACTACACCTTTTTTTCCCCACCCATGTATAGTATCTTTCAGTGTCATGACACTTTTGATGATTAAACAGACTTTAATCTGCGCATTTTCCAGGAGACTGGTTGAAAAACTTCACACACCATTTCAAAAGAGTTGCTGCCACTATCAACAGCAGGCATAACAGTGGCTTCACCATCATCAACAGAACAAATCAATACAGACACAAGATCAATAACATGTTTGGTCATGTCATCAAGCTATAGTCCAATGTAAAGTCCATTCTCAACAAAGTCCTGAGTCACCCAGGGGTGTCATTACCAAAGAAATCATGAAAGACCACCACAGAAGATTCTGAAGATTATTAGAAGATTATCATTTTGTTGGTTTTGAAGATAATGGTTGATTTCACTGATTTCATTTTCTTTCCTTTGAAAGAAAGAGACGTTACTTCAAAAGTCATTTCATCTGATAGATTTTGTAGCTGTGTTGATTTGCATTTTGTGGGTTGTTGCTATGCCACTGTTGCTATGGCAGATGCACAATCACATACTGCAACATAATCTTCGTTAGTTGGCAAAAACACTTTGCATAATGTTTAAGGCTCATTCACTCTGATGCTGATTTGTCTTTCAGTGTGATCCAGCAGAATGGTGGATGTTAAGGGAGAGGTCGCTGGTGTCTGAGGTCAAAGATGTAAATCATCTGTTCGATCTGATGGAAGTCTACAACACTACCTATGAGACCTCAGAAAGTAAATTTTACCGTGACTGCCATCTGACACAAGACACAGTTGTTATAACACACACACACACACACACACACACACACACACACACACACATGCAAAGAAGCTTAGTACGCACTTCCTTAAACCACAGTGTTAACACAAGCATCTAAACACGCAGGCTTACAGGATAATGCTGCCCTCAATTCACCTTTGAACTATAATCAAAATATCAAATAACTTATCCTTATAACATGGCTGTCAAGCAACTGCTCCAATACACACAATGTCCATGAAGCTCAACTTCCAAACCAACATGGATGGTTTTTATGTCTCCGAAAAGCTTTCAGACTGATGGGAGGTTTGAAGATCTACAGCTCCTTGACCACTGAGCAACCAAAGCGCTTCTTGAAGCTTAGTTTTAGGGTTAAAGATCAGAGGCCTAGAGCAACAATGAGCCGCTGGGTCTCTATATTATGTTAGATGATATTATATATATTTACGATGGTCAACTGAGATTAGCTTTTTTTCCGTGGCCATAAATTCCTGCATGTGAAACAATAGAACCACACCACTGCTGCATCCGCACAGAAATAATTTGGCCAGGTTGCAATCAATACTAATACTCTGGGGGAAGTAGTTACAGTTTTTTTCAATTGCTAAGATGCAATGGTCACAACTGAAGCCACTTTTTGAAAACTCTTCACACAGTCTGCATTACCCACATACCAAGTCACTCAAACCACCAAAACACTTCCTACAAGTTTTAAAATAGACTCGTTCAACCAAAACACTGGCAACAATTCTCATTTAGAAAGCATACAGTCTCACTCATAACACACTGACCTACAAAACACTAAAAACAGGGAGCATTACAGAAATGAAGAACTTTTATCTTTGAAGCGAATAAATTAGGTTTTCATTATACAGTAACAATAACTTATTTTCACTTCAGAAATGCAGCAATTTGATTCAATGTCCTTTATTTGTTCTATCTCTGTGGATAGTATTGTAAACTGTGAAAAATTTTTCTGTAAGTTGAAACAAACACCCCCCCCCACACACAAATTTCTGGAATTCCAGGGCTGCAAACAATAATAATACAAATAAGAAACACCTCAAAAACTCTGATGTACAGTACTTGAGGGTGCTAGTCCTCCCTCTCTGCTGCATTTGGCCACAAGTTCTCATCAATATTACATCTTATGTCTTCCCTGGCGATGCATCTTGGAAAGTATCTTCTGGAATGTCTAATCCAACCCTGGCAGTCTGCAGGAGAAGTGTATCCACATCCCACATTCATGTCATCCAGTAAGGTCATCTGGTCATGTGGATGGTGGTCAGAACAAAGATAGGGGAGTTTCTTGGTCCTCTTTCCTCCGCTGGCACAAGGCGATTATGCAGGTCATCCAGGAAAGACATGAGCCTCTCCGTATTGTAGGGGCCAATGAGTGGTTTGTGTAACAACAAACCATCATTGGACAGTGCTGCACACATTGTGATGTTAGCTCCTCTCTGCCCTGGGACATCCACGGTTGCTCTTGTCCAATCACAATTCTTCCCCTGCGGCGTGTTTTTGCCAGGTTGAAGCCAGCTTCATCCATAAAGATGAATGTATGTGCAGTTTCCCTGGCTTCCAGCTCCATTACTCTCTAAAATACAGTAAATACACAGTTTTACAGGACTTCACATTATGCGTCACTGTGTATGTTCCCTGATTGATTATTGAACAGGCATCTTTCCTGGACATATTGATAACAGAGTTCTTTCACACGTTCACAGTTTCTCTTGAATGGTTCAGTGTACAACTGCTTTGTCCTTATTTCATGTTTCTCGGGGCTCTGGCAATTGTCGTTGTGCTGACCGAATTCACATTTCCAAAAGTGATATTGTCTGCCTTCTAAGATTTTCTGTTTATTTCAATCTGGTCACTGCAGAAATGCAGTGCATTTACCATCAATCTGTTTTGAATGTCTTTTTAACAGTTTTGGACACAGTGTGTTAGCATTTGAAAAATGTGCTGCAGATACACAGTGTTTTGCAGGTGGTGAAGTAGTAATGAGTTCATGAATTTTTGAGAAAGGGGTCATTGAATGCATTTTATATGAAAGCAATGAAAAATGATTCACAGTTTGGTCCACATACACTTCCGTTGCGCTGACTGTTTGAAGAGTTTTGATAATGTGATTTCATTGACCAACGCAGGTTAGCAATTGAAAAAAACTGTAAGCATCTTACTTCATCCACCTGCTGTTTTGACATCCTGCTAACTGTAGGCAATTTCTGGTCTATTCTATTGTACTTTCCTTCATTTTATTTCATTTCATAAAATGAAATGAAATATGTCATATGTCTTAATTGGTTTTTAGGGCTTTGCATTTAATGGTTGTCTTTGCTTGTCTAAAGCACATTGAACAGCCTCTGCTTGAAATATGCTATGTAAATAAAGCTGCCTTGTCTTGCCATGCCATATGAATGATCATGTTTTACACTTTGGTTTTTGTACAGATTAAACAAGCTGTGCTTGTTATGTTTGGACAGAGCCAGGTTAGCTGTTTCCAGCTTCCAGTTTGTTTTGTGCTAAGCTAAGCTAACCAACTGTTAACTATAGCGTCACACGTGATGGAGATGAGAGTGATATCAATCATTTCATCTAACTCTAGGCAAGAAAGCAAATTTCCCAAAATGTCAAAGTATTCCATTAAAGCACGATTTTGGCACTTCAAGACAGGGCCTCAAGACCCACAGTTTGATACTGTGCTTCAGTACTAAAGCACAAAGTTACATGTAATTGTATTACCACACACCAAATTACCACACAGGGATCTTGGGGAAGTTGGTGGAACAGGCTGTCTGTTGTCTGTTGGTAATCCAGATTTCAGTTTAGGTCAAAGTTAGGTACAGGTAGTGGTACCTTGCAGCTGTAAGGGTCCTTATAAGTATAAAAGTACAAAAATGTGTTTGTTTGCATAAGCAGAAGTCAAACACACTCGTGCCAACAGGAAAAATGCTTACATTAGCAAGTTCAAGGACAGATGTCACCATCTCGTTTCTTTAAAAAAGCTGTGCTAAAATAGACAAACCACGAGGCTCTCTTTCTTCATCTCACTTGCTACATCTGCTTTCTAAAATTATTGCAGCAGACGAGAAATGTGAGGATGAAGCGCAACACATGACTTTGATGACAACATCTTAACATTTTCTCCGATACTATGACTTTCCTAGTTAATGTGATTTGATATGCATGTTTGTAGTGTATTTGCGTATTTATCTACTGATGCTGAGCAGTTTTGGCTTGTTGCTGTCTGGGTGGATGTGTTGTGTTTTTTGCTCCTCTCTCGTATAGACAAACTATGATTTTAACTACATTGGACTGATATCAAAAAAACGTATAATATAAAATGTAGCCTATAAAACAGAAATGAGCTTAACCTCCACAAGAAGACTATGAAGAAGCCAATGTCACTGTTTGTTTTTTAGACTTTTCTCCAATATTTGCTTATTTTTTGTGAAATACTAAACAGTTGTTACTCTTCAGGGTTGTTTTGCAATATCTGACCCCTCCCTTGTTTTGTTTATTATACTACACTTCTCTCACAGGATACAAGGATTAAGCATCAGTGGTGCGATAACATTTTCTCAAGTACAGTTCATTTTTAGGCAAAA